ATACGGTTGCTCAAGGCTGTGAGATTAATGTTGAATAAGAGTTATGAATATATTATGTATGATTTGATTTTAGTTGGGATTGGCATGCATAAATACAATTGTAGAGCATAAGCATTTATTCTTAATTTACCGAAATTCTAATAAATTGTGGCAATTTCGAATAGCTTTAGGTAAATGTAGTAAGGCTCCTGAATGACCTGAAAGGCCAATATAAGCTAGGCTAAGGCGTTTTAAATTTTTACACGATTCTGTTATGGTACTGAGGCAAGAAAGATGCGTTACATTCAGTAAACCAACGAGAGATAGGGATTCTAAACACTTCCAGTTTCCAATAGCAGATAATATTTCTTCGCTAATGAGATATTTTGATAGTGAGCAGCTAAATATGAAGATATGTGAATTAGTTTAGTGTCATATCAGCTTACAGTGTTAGTAATTATTTATCAACTGATAAAATTCAGTAAATTTATAACAAAAGTACCTTACAGGAAGTTCTGTTATAGAATATTGAGAGTGATTTGATAGTTTAGTTGATAGGTTTGACTGATAATAATGTGAAGAGTTTGAAAATGTTTTAATTTTAGGGCAATGCTTCGTTAGTAGTGTAAAATCGACTTGATCTCTATCTACGTTCTTGTTTTGGTCAGACTGGCATTCAGTTTTACTTTGCTCTATAACGCTAATACGGCGCTGCGGCGATAATATATCATTATTAGAATTTCTTCTACCTTTGATAATATTTTTATCCACCATAAGGCAAGCAGGTATTGTTAACTTTTCTAAAGTGATAGCTTTAGATAGGATGTGACATAAAGTGCTAAAGTTATCACATGAAACACAAGTGTGACTAATTTCAAGTTCTTTTAATAACTGGCAATTGTGTACTACAGCTTCTAAACCCTGAAATTGTTTATCCTGTAATGGAATAATATGATCGTAATATTATTACAGGATAAATTTTCTAGTGATAATGTACGTAAAATGAAAATAATGTACTCTATATTAGCTGTGAAGATGTGATATTGTTATGATTGTTGTTACTAGACTTACTTGCAATACTGAAGTTAGGCCGGATAAATCTAGCTTAACCAAATTTCTACAGTTGGCAATAGCATGGGCAAGCTCTTGGCTTGTTAGGGTGGGTATGAAGGAAAGATTGAGAGCTTTGAGGTTCCGTTTGTTTATCGCGTCTAAGAGTCTTTTAGGCTTTGTGGATAATATCCTGTCAACATTGAATTGTTGAATTTTGTTGGTTTCGGGTAAATCGATAGAATTATTAAGAGACAACATTGGCCAAAGATAATAACGAAAGGATTCACGATGATAACGCTCAGTTATTGTGATTAAGTTATCGAAGAATGGAGCTTGTAGATCAAAGCAGAAGCCGTCTTCACTTGTATATTTAAAATAGATACAGCATTGCCATTGCCTATAGTGGCAAACAGTCAACGACTTGAATGTTGATTTCTTGAGCAGTCTAGAATGTTTTACAGATACCATTGATCAGTTTATCGACCGGAGACTCTTTCTAAATTGGCATTATCATGCAGCGGCTATTATACTGTAAATCCAGTAGTAGCATAATAAATTACTAATAATAGTTAAATTATTTTATGTATCTACCTTAGGAATGAATGAATACACGAGTTTTCAAATAGGAATTGTTCAGCACTAGCAACACCAAAGTGCAGTTCAAGAGAAAGATAGTTTATCTGGGCAAATTTATCACGTAGCAGAGTCTGTGCACTAGTATTTTTGAATACATCTAGGGATATGGACCAGCTTAATTCGTCTAAATGTGGTATATTTTCTAATATCTGCATATATGTAATGAATTAGTAGAGTGAATTCGGTTATCGCTATGTTAGATAGTTGTGTAAGATACGATTGGCTAAACATGACTGCTTGTCTTCACTTGTAGTCGGTTTAAAACCATCATCAATGATGGTAACGATACTTGCAGTAGGGTATCTATAGCACTGTAAGTTACGCTAGTAACATATCTCAATTATTGCTTGTTGTTTTTTTATACGACAAAGTAGAGAAGTCGAATATGATATACCCTTACAGTATCAAGACAACACAGTGCTAATCAGGAAATTACGTTTGCTATTTGCAGTTAAATCGTACAGTTTGCAATGCTATACTGTATGATCAAGTTTTGATGGCAATTTATGGTAGTAAATATTGTAGCAAGCAAAATATCAAGAGCCATCTCAAATATAGTATCAATCTGATTATAATATTATACAGCTACTTGGGAACAAAAATTGGTTACCTTGATCATCGCTGAAGAGCTAATTTTGCAACCGGCGAGGTTGAGTTGAGTGGCCTTTTTGCACTTACATATGGCAGGTATTAAGTTGGTGCTCTTGAGCCAGTAGCACTGTGATAAATCAATACAACGTAGCAAATGGCAATACTTGTTAAGGTAAGCAACGATAAAGTTGGTTGAGAGTCGATAGCATCTTGTAAATGTGACTGATCTACAGTTGGTAGGTTGGAAATATATACAAGGTCAAGTTAGGCATTTTTTTACTATAGATTTGATGATTATTGTAGAGAGAGTATAGGAATGCAACCGTTAGCAGTCATAAAATGCATAATGATCGCTACATACCTGTACAAGCAAGTATCTTCAGTGATATTGGCAAATCGTAGAGATAAACATTTGCAAGTATTCAAATCTTCAACACTTAAATACCTGAGGATCATAAGTAGGATTTCATCCGAAAGTAGGTTGAGCATGATGCATCAACAGTCATTCATTCTAGACGATGATTGTAATCGTCTGTCCAAAGCAAGTGAATACTCTCCTTTCCTGTAGAAATAGATGCTCAGCTATATATGGTTCATTTTAGCCCATGCAATTAGATTTGTCAATCTGCTAGTAGTTAGCCATTGGTAGGTCTACGAGCCCAATAAATAGTGCAGAGCTGGCGAGCGAGAAAGCATCATCAAATTGGAATTGAATTCATTCAAATTGCCAATGTTTTGAAGCGGTGACTGATTTCAGTCTAGTGTAAGTCTCAGCATCGTTACCCGTGTAGTACTCCTCTCTCTGCGATTGTGCTCAGAACATAGTGCTTGGATAGCTATCCTATATAGCGTACTTAGAATCATTTGATGCAGTCATTGGCTACTAGCTCGCTATTGGATCGATTTTGACCATACAGTACAGTACTGTAGTTTTGACTATCGTCTACAGTACTATGCACTGTGTGCAGCGACCAGTCAACAGTGAAGCAACTTAAACAGTCCATCGTGCTTACTAGTATAGTACTGTTCCAGTAGTCCTTGGTCATACATATTGGTGTAAGTACTACGAAGCTAGCGTGAGCGATAGCAATCACGACTTGCGCTGTTTGATACTCATGTTTTCTTCCTTTACTGTACTGTACACTGTACAGTACAGTACTGTAGGTCTGAACTGGACCGGACTGGACCGGACTAGTCTACTCTGCTTTCTTTGGCAGGTCACGGACTGACGGAAACCTGCAGAACCCTGATACTGTTTTGAATTGTTGAAGGAAAAAGACAAATAGTACTGTACACTGTACACTCTACAGTACAGTGTACTGTACAGTACAGTAAAACAGTTGGAACTGGTTAGTCACAGCACTGTACAGTACAGTACTGTACTGTACAGTTTACAGTGTACAGTACATGAATTCAGTCCAGTATTCACTCTGTACTGTACAGTACAGTGTACAGTGTACAGTACAGTGTACAGTGTACAGTACAGTACTATTTGTCTTTCTACTTCAATAGTTCAAAACAATGTCAAGGTTCTGCAGGTTTCCGTCAATCCGTGACCTGCCTAAGAAAGCACAAGAACTGTACTGCAGTCCTGTCCTGTCCAGGCCGATTGTACTGTATGCGCCGGCGCTACTCGGGCTGTCCTATACTGTAGTCAGTCCATATAATACCGCTAGAGGTGGCTAATACCATCAATGCTAGTAGTGGTGGCTAGTGGATGAATGCAGTTTAGTATTCACTGAGAAAAAAAGGCAAACAAGGAGCGAAAGCGCCCTGGCCGACTAGTCAACAAGCTTTCCAACCAATTGTCAAAGCAGGATGGATACCAATCCTATAGTGAATGGCAGCCATGGAAAGCAAAAGATTAAGCTATCCACTCTCATGGACTTTATAATCCAGAAAGCTTACCATGACCTAAATGTACTCACTGAAATGTAAGTTTATCGTAGGTCATAGACTTGTTCGACCACTTTCTTTTGACCAAGTTGCAGTCTAGTGGAAAAGTAATAAAATCGATTCATAAAATGATAAACGATCATGGATAATGTGCCATGAGGTAGCATTCAATGAATGTTATGCATGCATAAACTCTCTCTTATACATGTATGAAGAAATAAAATGACCAATTGTCAATTTTGAATCTTGCTTACCGTGTTTTTATGTCGCATGCGGTACTTTATAGTCTATACAATCGCATACTGTACTGTACACTACACTGTGAACAGTGTACTCAAGTGACCGCGTTGACGATGCTTACCGTACTCTCTTTTGTATATCCAAGCTTGATCATCTTGAGCTTCATCAATGTTTATATTCTGATTTGGCGATACAGCAAGGTAGTCTTTCCGTAATAAGAAAGACCCCATCTCATTACTGTAATAATAAGTCATTTAGAGTACGATTCACAAGTACTGTACTATGTGTACCAATTCTTGTAATCCATGAGTCTGCAATGCTTGCTACTAATACGAGAAGAATATAATTAATTAAGATGCTCAAGTTCTATACCTGCTCTACTCTGCAATTATAGCTTAACGTGATTCAATGGCGATGCCATTATGTACAACCTATTAATAAGTGTTCTCATCATTATCAATGCAATCTTTTATTCATGTTATAGATTACCAAGGAAGGGTGATGTTGAAAGGTAGGATACTTAACGTAAATACGTAGCTAAAATGATGGTGATCTTTGTATAGATGTACTGTACAATAAATTAAACAATCCAATCATGCCTTACGATATGTTCTTACTGTATCTGGTTATTACCGATATCAATACCCACCAATCAGCCGTAACAGATATACTGTATTTTGTTCTTATAAATGTAAAGCTGCACTAGTAAAGTATTACAGTATCACGCCATTAGTGAATACAAGTCTACGAGTCGAACATACGCAAAGATAGAATACTGTAGTAGATATACATCATGATTATTATTTTCGATCTCTATCTAATCATAATCATCAGAAATTGTACTGATAGGATATTATACAATATTATTTGTTGAATACGGTAGGAAAATTGCCATTTATCGTTATTCAGCGTCTATGCGTCAGCAATTTGTACGCTTACTGGCTATTGTCAAATGGGCTACGAAAGCAGAAAAGATAGAAAAATGTTTTGTGAGTTAATTTCCATTGCCATACATCGTGGCGACGAGTTAGACGTGTATATGTATATCCTTTGAGTAATGTAAACTGTGATAACTTTACTTTCTTCTAACGTAGTCTCTTTATTGACCTTTTTCAATTACATTAGCAATTGTGCGATTTTTTGGAACAAGAAGGCAAAATTTTTGTGGATACCGCTGATGAGTTATATCGCATCGCTAATGAAATGCTTCCACAAGCTAAGCTGCCATATTTTGATTTAATAAGTGCAGCTGAAGTCCTCTCGCGTGGTTCTTACTCACTTTTACCGACATGTATCAAGGTAGGTTAGCATATTGCCAAAAGTTTTACTCATAAACACGATCATACTTTGTTTTCCCTCCACGTGTTCTTTCTGTACGCTTAAGTATTAGGATATATTACTATGCTACTCTTAACGTGTTGTATGTACCTTGTACAATGTATCGCTTATGTATCAGCATTTGTTAATGGCAGTTCGGGTTGCGTCTCACAGCTAAAATGTAAATGTCAGCCTCTATCAAAACAGCCTTCGCTAAACATTTTCGAACAATTATACTGTAATACTAATAATTAGTCCTTATTTTTACATCACTAACAATTAATGTACATAACCATGCTGTAGGATAAAATTATCCCTCTTCCTCCGATGACGCGAGACGATAAAAAGACAACTTTACAAAAATTAAATGAGGTTATTAAAGATAGACTACTTCGATCGAATGTACCACAGGGAATATCCAAAACAGTTATAGGTAGGAATGGCCTTGTCACTTTTAGTAGCACATTGGGTATTCTGTTCATCTTTAATATCTTAGATGTACCTACGCATGATAATGTTACAATTTTTGAATTGATATAATTCGAGTAGGTAATGGTCAACTAACTTTAACCGTAGAAGGAGAATTTGAGGTATGACTGTTATGTAATTATAATTCGTATCAGTAAATGGAATAAATCGTTGTAGTAAACTTGATGTAATTGGTTTTTTATAGGTTGTTTTAACTTTACTTGGTGACGATCCGGCTTTACCATGGCGTTTGTTATCTATAAAAATTTTAATTGAAGAAGCTGATATTGGAGGTCAGGACCGTAATCATAGAGTATAGATAATTTTTAATTAAGAAATGGCCAGATATCATAATTTAGTTATCCTTTCAGAGGATACGTTTACTTACAAGATAGTAAAAATCTATTAAATCATTTTTTTGCAATTTTTGAACCAACTTAGCCGGCAAATCATTAATGCATACATTGCAGGTAAAATCAGTCCTATAGCACGATATTAAAAAAATAGCGTATAGGGATAATTATATTTCACTAAATTATTGTTATTGCTACGCATTCCATTTTAGATTCAATACGTTCAACGATTAATGCAATCGAGATTATTCGACTCAGATGAACCACTTAAAGATTTATATACTAGCTTGCGTATCCTTGCTTAGTAATATTATGCCACTTTTTCGGGGGGGGGATATATAAACAATGTTGCAAATAATCTTATTATTTTGGTCCTTAATTACGGGTTTTGCAGATTATTTATGCTTATCTCTACAACTAGAAGTTTTACATTCTCAGGTAAATTTGCAATGATTTGTCATTAGTACAGACACAAAAAATTTTTTCACGTTTATATTAATCGTTTCGATATTGATGAAATAGGCTGAAAATTTAGTGGCACATCGGTGGGCAGGGTATGTAAAGCTGATCGATCATCTACCTGGTGGAAAGCTTATTTTGTCATATTGGAGGTATATTAGAAGAAGAATCTTCATATTACAGATACGCATGTTAATTATCAACGGCATAGGAATTGAATTACTGCATTCATTAATACTGAATTTGAAAATTTAGAAAAAAGGAGATTCAAGACCAATTAACGCTATCAGAAGATAGTAAGTTTAGTTTTTTATTTTCCTTTTGCATTCTGACAAAATTTTAAAGTTTGGTCATATTGTTTAACACCTTTCAGGAGTAGACTATACCTTAACTGTATATATTGATCAAGAGAAAAATGATACACCGCTTTCAGTAGAGCATTTTCCTGTTCAGGAAGAATTGAATACCTCATTAAATAAACTTGATTTAGTAAGTAGATTAAAATTTTAAACGGTCTGGCTTATTCTTTGTTGTTGTTTAACTTGTTCACTTTGATAGTACCCGTTGTCTTTATAAACTCAAAGTTTTATTAGCTAAATACTTATGCGGATAGGATGAATCATCATTTGATACTTATTTTTTAACATTTACTTAGAAAAAACGAGGTGGACTTTCCATTGAAACCTTGCTAATGGAAGCTATCGAAAAGAGATCATTATCGAAGCTTATGGTATGGTCTTTTCATCTAATGATTTACTTCTCTTAATTTTATTGGCTAATAGTTTCTGAACCCTTATAATCTGAAAATGTAAGAATGTTATGCAACAGATTTTAACACTTTCTTCTCACTTTTTAGGAGGTCAAACATGCACTGCAAAGTAGTGGACTTAATTTGCCTGGTATGCAGAAGATTTCTCTTTTTAACTACTTTTTTTGCCTGAGTGTACTTATAAAATACTATTTAGTTTAGTAGATAAATATTGCATTTTTACATGTATGTACACATATTTACGGAATACACTCAGTTCAGCTGTATATTGGCGTATATTTGGTACATATGCACATTATATAAATAGAATCGCTTTAAATTATTTTTTTGTAGTAAAACTTGAACGCGATAGAATTCCTTCTCTTGTTGTTAACTTAATTGATGATGACGATTCATCTGAGCGTCTATTACTGTCTGTTGACACTAAATCTGGAGATACAAAGGCTATGTTTTCAAGTGATTTGAGTAAGTATTGATTAATATTATTAGTTTGCTTTGCCAGATATATTACACTGAATAGTACTATATTTTAAGAATAGAAGCGATGGCATTATATTGTCTCATTATTTATAATTTTAAAATTGTAGGTCTTATAGATGAAAATGTAAATGTGAATAAGCTGTGTAATATCATTGCTGATGCCAAGTAATTTTAAAAATTAACCTGATTTATAGCTTTTTCTCGTTTTTATGTGTATAATTAATTGCTAATTCAAATATCATATCAAAATTCTGTAATAATGCAGAATTGAAGCCCATTTAAGAATTTGTCTACAAGCTTTAGCACCACTTCCTGTCACGTGCAATCGGAGGTTACCTATTCACTGTGATAGCTTTGACCTACTGGATAAGATTAGTAAACATCGACTGTTTGTTAAGCTACATGATTTGGATCAGTACTATTTGGTATGTAGTTCATATCTTATTATTTCAGTCAGTTTATTTTCTGATAGTAGACTTATTATTCTTGATATTGCTAATGTGATAATATTAGTGTATTAAATTTTCCTTTATTGCTTAGATAATTGGAGTAGAATGTTCAAAGGATCTTAATGTGAAAGAATCATTTTATTTGATGAATGTTAATGATTCCACCCTTGGCAACTCATCGGAAGATGTAGCATTTCACTGTGCTTCTTTTATTAAAATTCGAGATGTAAAATCCTGTCAGATTTCGGATAGCGAATATCATTTGATGAATGTTACTGAAGGTAATATTTTAGATAATTAGCAATAAAGTTTTTCGATCATTAACGAGACCTCGAGGGAATTAAATTGATATAATATTTTTGTATAGGAGTCAAAAATTCGCCTAGCAAAAAGAGAAAGGTTTGCCTTTATATACACTTGCATTGATGTAAACTTTTACTATGGTAAGGATTGTCAATTTTAATTCTTATTATAGTTCGAAGCCGCTTTCGGATTATCAGTTGGATCAACAAAACACATAAAATTTGCTCGTACAAGAGTTGTAGATATGATACACTTTACCTTATCTACAGTTGCTCATGCACAACTTTGTAAAGGGGTAGGAATGATATATTACTTAAAAGTTCTACCGAGTTTTCTTGAAAGTAATACATGTAATACGCGTATTTCAGTTACAGAGAGCAAATTTCCTTTATGAGAAAATTTATAAAGACATACATGGAGACAACGTCTTGAAAATCTTATGGTAAATTTGCAATCAGTACATTTGTTTGAACTACTAAATTCTTACATTGTGGTACAGCATTGGTTAAAGATGGCCATTTAAATTTGATAGGCCTCCAAAATTTCCAGATTTGTGTTCTCCAATAATAATGGATAGTATTTTAAAGAATTTAATTGATTTTCGCGTTCGTTTGGTTGATGATGGATTTCAGTGGAAATGGCTGGCTGAAGTTAGTTTTACGTATATTTAGTCGCGTAATTTTAGTTAACATCTGTGTTTTGGTGTCAGTTTTTATTTAATGGGTATACATCTGTTATAGGCAAATAGAATTGACCATCTTTTATCTACATCGTTTGTATATGAATCTCTAGGTTACATTCAAGAATCACCCAGTAACTGCCTTGAAAGCGAGTAAATCTATAGGTAGTACTGTTTCTTACTCTTACATTTTTGTCAATAAGTGTATTATTCCTACGTTATAGATTTGTCCGATCTTTAGCTCTGCTTGACGATTTTCTATCGCATTTATAGAAGAAGAGCATATTCGATTTATCGTAAGTTACGATACAAATCACAAATGGAATCCATCTACAGGAGATATCTCACTTAAGTTATTGGATGATTGGAAGGGTATTATTATTCTCTATCGCCTGACATCAGATTTAGCTGAAGCCCTTCAAGGTAACATTAGCATAGTAATTTGCACGGTTTTAGATTTTATGGTAAAAGTTATGATGTATGTTGCAGATTCATCCAATTGTTGGAAGCATTACTTCTTGGTTTACGAATTTTCTCCACAGTGTTTGACTCTACTTTACGGCCCCAAGTCTAAATATATTGTAAATAGAGTTTATATTTACCCGTGAAGTTTATATAGATTTGAGTTTGTATTTCGTTACTTACTACTGCATTTGTATTATTCTTGTAACTGTGTTAGGTGAGAATCAGCTGGTGTGATAAAATGTTTAAACTGCGGTTTAGTTCTATATCGAATGCGAATGCGAATTTCGGTGAAAATCCACATAATTTGATACTTGACCATCTTCAACATAAGCTAAATAATAGCAAGGATATTGTAAAATTACTAGAGGTATTGTGGTATTGGAAATGTAATTACTACCTAGAATATACTGCAAATATTCGTGCCCATATTCATAATCTTTCTTCTGGTGTAATAGATTTTGCATGGCACTTTCACTCCTCTTAAAGCTTTGCTCAACGTATCCAAGCCTAGATTTTCGTCAGGGATAAATCCTGTAATTGCAGTATATAAATCATTAATGAGATTCCTCTTTTATACATGTGGATATTGCATATATGCTTAAACATCATAATTTTTATCCATGCGTATTCGTTATACAAGTTAATACTTGATTCTTTGCATTGCTTATAACATTTAGAAACTTTCAACAGCGGCTTTGGCTTTTACAGTCTTACCGTTATCTTGTGATCATCTGCGAATTCAGTTTCGCCATTTCTTTATAATGGATGTACATTTAAAGAATTCAAACTCTGTTATTATTCATGGTTAGTAAAATATGATGCTAGGTTATTATACTTTGAAAGTATCCTATTTCTGCGATTGTGTACAAAGTTCGTTAAATGCTTATGTTAAATTCTTGTTGTTGTAGATATGGGAAAAAATACAGAGGTAGCTGTTATTCCAGGATTTAAAGTATGAGCCAATAACTTTTTGACTTTGCTAATTGTAAATATACCCAATAAAGCAATTATGTTATCTTGATTATAACTATTTCGATCATAGGAATTTATAACAAAATTTATCGAGACAGTTGACACCTCAATGGCTTTTACAAACGATATTTCAGAAAGTAATATTATGGATACAGAGGATACATATCCTAATCGACCCAATTCTGCGGATAATTCTCATGCTGATGCAACCTTAGCAATTGAAGCATTAAAGGAGATGACGTCGACTGTCGAATCTCCAACTCTACCGTTTAGTACCTCGCCATTTATAAGTGGCCATAATTCTAGTCCCCTATTCATCTTTTCCACCTCAGATTTTATACAGGCCGATAATTCGCCCAGTGGTAGACGAATTGGTGAAAATCATTCATCTCCGCAAGCTTCAGTTCCAAATCAGCTAGCTGCAATTGTTAGCGGTAATGAAAATCAAACATTTACTGGAAATTATTTAAATAATCCTCCGACTAAGCTCCAGAAACAAGAATATTGGGCTTCATTGTCTAAAGTATCTACTTTGACGTCAGCTAGAAGTGATTCTGTTGAAATTAGTCAGGCTGCTTTTGCTAAATTACTGGAACCTGTTAGTACAGGTTAGTAGTTATTTTAATTGACTAGACTAGTTTATAGAATTAAGGTAGTAAATTTATTAGTGTCCATTATCGAATAATTTATTAAATTTAATTTTTGATTAGATGAAAGTCTGAGTGGTTGTCTGCTGTCTCCCTTTGAACGTTATCTAAGTTGCGCGTTTCTCTTGCAACAAATTAAACGCTCAGCAAAATCCTGTGATGTATCGGTTGGTATTAGTTTAAGCTGCCCCATCTGTATAAGTTACATTAATAAGTGATCCTACGCACAGTATCTAGCTATAAGAATGATTTTTATTACTGATTTTTAGGTAGGTAACGAGACAAGTAGGATTGTAAATTTGAGATTTTCCATGGACAATATGAGCGCAGAGGCTATGATTGATGTATCGCATCTGCCTACTTTAAGATTGGGATTGCTATCGTCTAGAGGTGAGACTGTGAACTTTCTGCAATATTCATACTTACTGGAATGTACTAATTGTGAATATTATTATAATTGATCAAGATAATTTTATGAAAGAAGATGATGTGCGGACTTTAGTGGAGTTTTTTAGATTGAAGGTACAGTATTATAAAATTGACTTATAAAAAAGCAGTGATAATCATTTGTGCCTTACATATACAGTATATCTAGATTACAGTACTGTTAGAAAGACCTTCGTGAGAGCATAACTCATCGCTCTAACGTGATTATGATTACATTATTAAAGGTCGCTTCTTATCCATATAAAGCTGGCAGTCTATCATCCTTCCTAACATTAATTACAGCTCCCGTAAAAATTTTGGAAGATTGTATTAATATAATGAAATTAGAGCTAGTAAGTAACAGTCACGATGATTGGAAATAATTAATATTGAGAAACTTTGGTACAATGATCTTATGGCTTATTTTACTGTCAAATTAGTTTCCTGATCCTAAAAGGTCTTGGAAAGTTTGTTGGTGTTTGACTATACCGCCTAATTGTCCTAAAATTGCCCCACTTGGTTTTCAGGCTGTAGCTTTAAAAGCGAAGTTATTAATTGTTGTACGTGTTAAGTATTTCGTGAATAACAAGGATGTCCCAATATCTGCATGTTTAATTTGTTGTGTTTAAAACGTTTTTAGTTACAGTTTTGGAAATATGGTGTAACACCCTTAGTTATTCCCATCGTATGTAGCGTTCAAGATGGTTCTGTGAACGTACTTGATAGTGTATATCCAGATGGCGTAGATTCTAATCTATTAAGTGCAGTCAAGTCTATCCTCAAATCTCGCAAAGATGTTTACCCATCTTCAAGGGGTATTATACTTTTATCGGCTAGATTTGTTTAAACTGGGTAATGTTTTATTAAAGTGTTCTTGTTTTTGTATTACAGACAGGTGTCAACTATTCGAAACTGTTCGAGAAATTTTGGCGAAATTATAAAGTTTATTAAGAAATATTTCGTTCTTTTTTGATTATCTCGATGGCCAGATTAGCAATTAACTGAATACATGCAATTCAGGTTTTCAACATATGTTTCATACAGCGGTTGATTGATTGACTTTTTCGAATAAAGTTGTCAGCGATCAATTAATTACAACACACGCAGCGTGGTATTGCATTCAAACAATTGCAATTATATGGATTTGGAGTATTAATAGCATTAAAATATGATCATTTAATTCAATTCCTTAATAGCGATGATCCATTACTAAAAAGTTTTGATTTCTATTATATTACATTAATGTATCAAAGAATTTTTAGTAACTATTACTCTAACATACCGGAGAATGCACTTTTTCATGAAGATATATACAGTGATGAGAATTGATAAAATTCACGTTCAAGTAATAGTGTACAGTAAATGTAGCTGCAAGTAAACTTTCTATATCTATATCAGATTTTTATATAACAAAGCAGCAATATTTGTATTGCTACCATAGGTTTGAATAGAATTTTTCTTGCTAGTTTCTCCAATAAAATGACTCGATAATGAAGCTAATGGGCGATTTCACGGCTTTCATCGAATACATTAGTTTCGTTTATAATTTGATGTTTGTCATTATCAGATTCTAATACTTCAACGGCATTAGAAGCGTTTTCTGCATCTTCGAGTAACTTTGTGATATCTTGCGATGAATCATCATCGAATAATCCTAGGTCAAGATTTATATCAGACGATAAATATTTCGGCGTACGATTTTTACGTCGAAGGGTAACATTTTCGGCAGCTATCTTTCGTATTTCATCAAATGGATTATCATCGCTGATATCAGATATTGGAAGACTATTAACTGAATCGAATTGCTTAATATTACTATTGATTAAATCGTTATCAATGGCCGGTTCTTCACTGATGCACTGTAAATCATCAACATCAAATAGTCCATTTGCTGATGTATTTTCATTATCGTAATCTCCATTTTCTGTAGTTCCATTATCAGAATATTTTATATCGTAGCTATCAGCATTTGTTGGCTCTCTAGAGTTTGTCTTTTCTTCTGCTAGCATGTCATTGGAAGTAGATGATTTATCTTGTACACCTTCGTCCTCATTACCAGAATTCTGTGTTGTTGAATTTATGGATAAATTGCTAAAGTTGGGAGCTTCAGATGAAATTAAACCTGGAATGTTGCTCACGTCTCTACGGAAATGTTTCACAAAGTTGTAATTAGACTAGCTTCTATTATAAAGCCACATTATGCTATCATTATCCGTCCTAAGAATTGGGCATTCTGCATTAGGACTGACGACAACAACACTAATTGATGCTAAGGCATCTCATAAACTTACCTGACAATTAAAACACCTAATTCAGTTTCTAGCAAATTTTTTAGATTAGCTAAAGATTGACGAGGATCCACCGTAGCTAGATGGCAATAGAAACGAATCTAAAATGTATATATAAACAGTGCATTAGAAACAGAATAAAGTAGATGAGCAATCTAGCATAGTTTGCTATGGCAATACGAAATTGATACGAATGCTAAGTACCTGGGCAATGTTCATATTTAGGAGGTACATAGCATATTTAAAACTAAAACTGTCTTTATTTTTCCTGCAGTGAAGAGGAAAGCTAGAGGCAGAAAAAGTAAAAAAATTACTTATTACTATGCACTAAACGGAAATACGTTGAACGCAGTATAAATCCAAATATTATATTATTCATACACTTTCTCCTTTTGTAATTGGCTATTGATATAATCAGCGATTGTTGACTTGGAGCCATAGTAGATCATTTGATAGCGCAGAGGTAAGTCGAGTAGCTGAGATAAGATGATTAACATGTGGCATGTATAGCCTAGACTGACTGATAGCATGTTGTCGTTGCAAGCTAATGTCGAACGATTAGAATTTATTCAATCCCTGATAGGAATATTGTTAGATAACATTCATTGATAGAATTAAGATAATTACCGATTGATTTACCATTACCAGCAATAGGAAGTTTTGCCCCACAGATACTGTGTTCACCAGGAGCGTCCTAAGAGGAAGAGATTTCATTATAATACTAAATAGTTGAAGTGACCGCACCTTACAACATCAATTTTTCTAATATTAATGTCAATATCGATATCTAAATAAAACATTTTATATCATACCTCACAGATAGGATAAATGAAAGATAAATCGGAAGCAAGTTGCCTCCTCCGTTTAAGTAAACTATTTTCAAGTTTACTTAAAAAATCTTCTCTTTCAAGATGAAGTTTTTGCCTTTTCAAAAGTTCCGATTTAAGTTTATTATAATTTTGTTTGCTGTTTTCGAAATGGGCAACTGCAAAATTTTTAATGAGCCACATTTTAGTATTGTTATGATTGATCATTTGCAACAACTACAAGAAACTTGTATTGAAATGATTTCGATAAGAACAACATAAGTGGTAGATAGTAGTATCTATTATAATGGTAACCTCTATTTCTTAATTCCTTCGTAGTCCTTTCGTTAATATCTTGTTCTATAGATTTAAATTAATTAAAAATTATATTTAACAAGCTTTCAATAAAGGTGAACTTACATAAGTAAATTTAACATATTTTTCATATCAAGATTGTTTAACAGGATAGTACCTAGTTTATTTTCCTCTAGTTGATTTTTCAATTCATCCTGCAGCAGAGATTTTCGAAATTTCACGGCTTCTATCTGACTTAGCTAATTGGGTAAAGCGTTGAAAGTGCAATTTAAACAAGATCAGAGAAAAGAAATTAAAGCTACATTAGTATCGTTTTTTCATCATATAATACTTACAATATCTGTTTTATATTTCTTTTTAGCCATTAAGTCATGTATTGTATCCTGTAACTTTTTTATTTTATCTTTCGTTTGAAGAATTGCCTTGCAAGACGTCCGAATCCTTTGATAGTATCATATAAAAAAAATATTAAAGAAAAAGAATTGAGTTAAATAGTTCAATTTTTTGATTTCAAATGAGCTAAAGAACAAGGTACTAACCGATCTAAACAAGCTGCTGTGTAGGATGTGCGAACCTAAAATTTAAATATGATAAATATGGAACCTTTATCAATTGTGAAATTACATACACATAAGAGTATTAAGGACAACACTAGTCATTGTTATGTAATTTTATAAATCGAACGTTTTATTAACTTATGGCATAAGCCTTTAATCTAGGTTATGTCTAAGTTGAACAAAACTATGTTACCAAATTTTTTTCCACTGTAATGAAAATAGGCTCCCTAAGATTGATCCCTTGTAATCCACTACAATCCTTATTTAACAATAGCACAAGAATACGTTATTACAATTTATAATCTCACTCAGATGTAATATATTAGTTAATCGAATGGTTTATACCTTAACTCGAGTGAAATTGTAAAATATTATCATATATGTAGTGTAAATATGTCGCATATGGCTTGCGACATTTATGTAAAAATATATTTTACGTGTCGACCGTATCTTTCTTAGATTAAATTCTTACTTGCGTCGCTGGTGCTGTATAGTAACCCTCTAACATTCCAAAGATAACAGAATTCTGTTCGTACGGTTTTCCATCTTTATGGAGCTAAATTAATAGAGATAAATAAAGGAACATCTAAAGACTTTGCCTAGTAATGTAAACCTGAGGTACGATAGGCTACATAACACCATCACATTAAAATTCGATATCATTTCTTCATTAATTGTATCCTTATTCGTTGGCATACATGCACGTATGCATTTGCTCTACAATAGAGAAATTTTTGCGACGTGTAATCTTTAATACTTACATGTTCTCCAATATATATTAGTCCCTTTAAATCGACGATCCATTCTATAAGTAGATAGCGCGTATCGACAATTTCGGCCCAAATACGAACAATTAAATCTTGATTTTATAGCCATTTAGTTAAGGTGAATACGATTTATAATGTAATGCCATATATTGTATAAATTGCTATTAAGTCTATGTTGTCTAGAAAAATCAAGCCTGATCTATCACACAAAGTCTGGACAAGTTTGATACTACTGCATGACTTAGGTGTAAATGCTACTTTCTCGTAATCTATTACAGTACGTAAATAACATTGCGAGTATTGGCTGAAATTTCTGTCGTATTGATAGCTTCTTAATACGGTTGATAACTGTACTGTAATCCTTGTTAAAAGTAATGATTATGTTTCAATTTACACACTGATAAAAAGCTTCATAAAACGATTTATGACTCGCATGTCAGTTATCGTAGTATTTACAGTATGTACTGTAATACGTGAAAAATCATTGGTGTATGCTACAATAAAGTCTAGAGAATGATTCCCTGCAGAAGAATTATGATCATTGAGAAGCAATATCATGTACGAGCCTTATGTATAATGTCATTTAATCAGTATCAAAGTAGCATGGATTAAATTGATAACGTGGCATAATTTGGAAGTGGGATACGTGTCGATGAAGTCTGAACATATGATGGAAAATGGCTAGGCTCAAATCCACGCCATGTTGGATTCTTGGAGAATAAAATTGCGATCAATAGTTTTAATAATAATAATTAATAGTAATTAATACTAGTAATAATAGCGGAAGACAGTGAAAAATTAGGGTATTGTTAGTCGAAATGCAGGGAATACAAACCAGTGCTAATAGTTTTTCACTGCGGTAGAACTCTATTGGAATAAGCAACAAAATAAGAGTTTTCAGCAATCAGAACAAATGAAGAGAATGTAAACAATAATTAATTTTACTTTAATGATATTTCGTTTATAGCAGCATGATCTCTATCTCCCTGATTATAATTATTGAATACAATTGTTGAAGCTATGTAGTTGATCAATTGAGACTTACCAAGTTGCTGACTATCGCTATGATGTAAGGTAAAGTAGGTATAGAATAACGCATCTCCATTGACATGAGCAAGAGCATCTTGTAATTTATCTGGTGTTGAAAGATTCCTAGCCGAAATATTGCGTAGATGTCGGATACGTCGCTTATAAAAATGGAGTAGAAATAACTATTAGTGTTGTGATGTGCGATAAACATCAACATTGGATGATGTTAATATTGTATGGCAGTGTTTTACAAGCAAGAAGGAGATTGGATCTCATGGAAATGAATCGCCATCTTCTCATCAAAGTCTGCTCTAATATATTGTGTTGTATGAAAGCAAGCGCTAATGCCGTATGGAACAGTACTGAATCCTTGAAGTCGGTATCGTGTACTGACTGACCAGTAACGTATTATATATATATATATCAACATGTCTGACATAACTACAATACGCACCATTAATAACACGTTGAATACACATCTCTGACTTTCTACAATGTCATTTTCCAGTCATTGGACAATATAAGACGCAAACTGATTTAAATAGGATTGCAAAATGAAGTGTAGAGTCTATCTAAGGCATTGAACTGGATTCACGATTTATGGTGCATATTTTCGACTGCTTTCATTTCATGTACTGTATTTTTAAGACGAGTCCATCACGTCATGGCATAATTTTTTCATGTTTGTGCACCGCTGTATGGCAGTTTTGGCTGTTATCTACAGTACACTCTCTCTGCTTTTAGGCTACCGTTATCCATACTATTTTTATGCAATCAATTGGTTGACTATCGACAGACAAGTTAATTTTCAATGCTATTCTTTCTCGAACCTGACTGTCCATACTGCAGGCAGTGAAATACAGTAAATACAAAAAATGAAGTGGTGGTCGAAATGAGTCCATCCTCTACTACCAAGAAATCATTTTTACTAACCAAAATTGATCCTTTTATTAGCTGTACTATAGCATGCTGTTATAGGTGGAGCTAAATACCTGTTGACTAGCCACATGGACGTGCCGAATTCGTCGTAAATGATATTTATAGGAAGACATTGGATAAAATGGAGATTTTCTGATTGGATGAAGAAGGTTTGTGGAAAGTATGTACAGCCACAGCTTGCCAATGCCAACTGACTGACGTGATTTACAGTACTGTACCGGACAGTACATTTTGAAATGTCACCCCAATTTTATATCTATTGTACTGTAGCGAGCCACTTAGTATACAAAGTCCTTTGAACTGCCAGAGTAAATACCGGACTAGGGTGACACTTAAATTGGAGAGACTTTAAAGAGTCTCTACAGTACAGTACTGTAGCGCATAGTGAGACAGTTTACAGAGGAGGCAAGCGTGACGGACTGACTGACGCTCCCGATTTAGCTAGCGCAGACTCACCATTCAAGTCAAAGAGGGGGGTCAAGGGACTACTATGGTTCAAGTGTGCTAGAGTGTCACTATCAAATAGTCCTTGCTAAGATCATCGTGGTAGAGGTAATTCCTTTTAATGGAGCAGACAAGAGCCAAGAGTTTTGTACACTACATAAAACATAAACGAACTGGATTCCCCAGGAGTACGAAAAGGAAATTAAGAAGTGTAGTCTCTGCCGTTTAGTGGTCAAAATCAATACACAAATAATCAGTTTGCTGGTCATTTAGAAACGCATCACTACACTTTCTACCGGTGTCCTGTGCAGTGTGCAGTCTTTACGTCGCATCATACTGTACAGTGTACAATATTTTATACTGTAGACTACAGTACAGCACTGTACTGTACTGTACTGTACTGTACACTTTTAAAGGTCTGTTGGATCAATGCTCTACTGTAGTCCCTTGGTACAGTACTGTACAGTTGACTATTGAGTAATGTACTTCCGTACTGTACTTCCGTACTCTATCTCCACAATATCGACACTACAGTACAGTCAAATGTACTAGTGCAGCGCTGGATCAAACCAGCCAAACTCTCACATAAAAGCAGACCAATGACTTGGCTAAAGTAGTGCCTTCATACTTGAATCACAACGTGGCACCTTGTCAAAGAAAAATGGTGAGTGTTGTCTTGAGAACTTTTCTAATTTTAAACTAGTATTCTACCTGGTAGTTTAGGAGTTTCCCTTTCAACCCCAGTGAAAAAATTTTCATCAATCGAATAGCAACAATGTAAATGACTTTAAATTGTGAATATGCATAAGAGTCTACAGCAGTTATTGCTAGTCATCAAAGCGGCTAGTTTCGAAATGAATGATTGAAAAACTTTCTTGGAGGTAATGTCAGCATTGAAGTACATGAAACACACTGGTTACACTAGTCTACATTGCGGATGCATTTTATAGGACAGCAATTACTCCAAGTATGCTCAATTTTCCTCTTTCCTAGATAGAACATGTTGGAAAAGTTGCTTGCATTCAAGAAAGACTACTGTATTGTAGATGAGGTTTACATTAATTCAATGTACCAAATATAATTCTCACTCAAAACACTGGTGGATGGTGCACAACAATTTCAATGACAATAATGAGTACGTTATATATGCGTATATACTGTACTGTACTGTATATAAAAAATGATATAAAATTTCCATCGGAATGAATTTGTACAGAGAGAGGGAAAATCTCCAATACTTATTGATAGTTCGAAATTTTAAAAAATTTAGTATGCGCGTACTCTACTGGCTGCTCTGCCTTTCTTTCTTCAGTAGACTCGAATATATACAGTACTGTACATTATTGAAAATACGCATTAACAGTGACGATCTTAGGAACTGCTATACGGGCTTCATTCTTATCGGTGTAGATATTATTCTGATAAAGTAGCAATGAATCGATGTGAAAGCCCAAGTGTTATATAGATGTAATCGATATTGTCTCAGAATGTGTAAACATCGTGCAATATTTGAAGCATTGAAACGCGGTACATACAATTCATAAAGTAGATGATGTACAAAGTCTATATAGTCTGCTAGATCAGATAAGATTGCTACATAGAAGTATGATCCTGCGCTTCTTTTATCAACTTGCGGCTACGTTTCACCCATATTTTTCATGTCTTGTGATGATCTTGATTATACTTTTTGTAATACGAGGACCAATTTGATTATCTATACAGTAGTACCAAATCTTGATTAATCTAATTTACCTCTACAACAATTGTGTTATAAATAATAATTTAAAAACTACTGTTTTAATTTCCTTTTTAGGCTTCAAAAGGTTATGATCGATTCTTATCGTTTTTACTATGCTCATTATTGATCCTGCCCATTTCATCATTTGACGATAACGTTAAGTCAGTTAATGTAGCATTAGTATCGAAATGGCCGTCGACGCCGTTGCTCTTGGAAGTCAGGTAATGCAATACATCTTTACATATACTGTATCTTGTCATTATCATCTAAATTTCTACTCGATTACATTATATATATGCTTGACGTACGTATGTCATGGTATCGTATTTTATTGGTCTATCATGAAATAGAATTTCAAAAGATTATTGACGTAAATCTTATACGCGTACAGTAGTTACATTTTGAAATAGATTTACATATCCTTGACGCTTACAGTATATCATTACTAGAACTTTAGTAGCATCAGCTATATAAATTACAACAAAGTGTACTTGTACATGGTGAAAGCTACTTTCTATCTATTAGTATATAAAATTTCTTTCCGGAATATTTTTTAAAATCATGCTGCTTGCTGAAGCGCATTTTCACCATGGATGCCTAATCAGTTGCCATTGTTAACTTTTTATATAATCTCACAATAAAATTGTAGCGAATTTATGTCCAAGCAAGGTGGTCAAACATTCTGGTCGTTTGTTAATTCCATCAATAAATTACCAGATAATTCATCCGATTTAGGTGAGATCAGCTTGTGAACTAATAAATGACGCAATATAGTATCTTTCTGTATTTGTTTATTTGCTATAAAACACTGCCAACACTGCTATGCAATTATGATGATATATGTGATAAAATGATTTTGTTAGTTATTTTGCGATTAGATTGATGGCATCACCATAATTAAATAGCATGCCTACTACAAATAGCTCTCATCTTCTATATCATGCAAGGTACAATAACATACTTATCATTTGATATCATCCCTTTCAGATACGTACAACTTTGTCATGAAAAAAGGCCAAGATTTATTACAACCCTTGACATTGGATGTTTTGAAACTTTCCTTATCATTGAGATCGTATTCACCTCGTGTTGAAATGTTTTTGCAAGTATGAGCTGCAGCACTATTATATCTTAATGTGATTAATCTTATAAAATATAGCGTTACTTGGAACGCAATAATTGTTAACAAGCAATTGAAGGATTTGTAGTTACTACAATTGACGTGTTCGTAAGTTTAAGTGCTTTGGCTGAAAATTTATTGATAGCGTATCCTAAATAATTTAGATAAGTCGATACTTCAAAGATAAACCAAAATGTGCTGCTTTTGCGCAATTAAACGGAAAGTTTATATGTACAACGAAGGAGTTGGAAGCAGAGTTAAAATCGTCAGGATTGCAGTAAGTTAATAAATTGTATGTTAGGTCTTTCCAGTTCTGTTATGGTTTAAGCAATTGATATAATCTCTTTACTATTTTAAAAATAGAATTTACTATAGAATGAAATCAATATTAATATGGATGTATTCGTATGGTATTGTAATTATGACTAACGATTAGTATTATCGCAGTTCGGAACCGGAACTCTATACATTTGATCATATTTATCCAACTTCGGCGCAAGCCAGTGACCTTCCTGTCGCTATTCTGTATGGTCAACTAGGCGAAAATCATTGTAGGGAATTGCATTCGTTTCTTTACAAAAGAGCCAAGGATGGCCAAATCAAATACGTATTTAGACACTTTGTTGTGGTAAGAACTGATTACCGCTTTGCTAATTTAAGAAATATTATGATTACTATTGACTTGACAACAACTAATAGTCAAAGTCACGCTTGTACGATATTATTTAGAATGAAGATCAAGAGAGATTATCACTATCCGGTTATGGTGTTGAACTAGATATTAAGAGTACTGAGTATAAGGCTGAGGATGATACAAAAGTAGATGAAGGTAGTAATGAATCGTATTTTTTTATCGATTTTATTAATATTATACTGATATTGTAATAATATACTAGCTAATGTCGATAACCTTGGATCGACCCAAGAAAGCTCTGATGATGAAGTAGATGGCTTTCTATTTCATACCTTAAGGTAATAAAAATCTTATTAGAATTTTAATTAAAATACAGTATATACCCCAATAGTATTGGTTAGAGCATGATCATGTATTATATAGGAAGAAATACCCGCAAAAGTTGAAAGAGTTAGGGCAATTTAAGAAACATCTACTTGATGATCGAAATGAAGTAGCCCCTTTAAAAGTCTGGCAATTACAGAGTAAGTCTGTAAAAAGATATTGAAATGTACTAGTACATGTTATCCCTTGCTTAAAGCCGCTCATTGCCATAAAATAAGATTATGAAATCTTGAGCACTATGATAAGTTTTAAGTGAAGGAAAGTGAATCTATTTTGTACGATAATACTAGATCTAGGTTTTCAAGCTGCTCAACGTGTTTTGTCAGCTGGTAATGATGCTCTAACAACCCTTCGTGACATAAGTCAAAACTTGCCAACATTTGCAAGGTTCTTAAATATTAGCAGTACTTTAGTACAAGAGCTTTTTCGATAAGTACATGATACTGTTATTATAACTGGCACCTATATTTGCTTATATCATCAGACCGACTATCAAATTTCAAGTACGTAACGAAGTTCGGAAAGAAATTAAGGCAAATCAAAAAGTACGTTGATAGCCTTAAACGTAAATCTTCAATATTATCCTACTTGTTGTTTTTAGCTATTGCTTTCACAGGTAGCTGCTTAATTTATACCTCTACGTTCATTATAGATATTTTCTGCAGAACTCGGTCTAGACGCTGGCCAATCTGCAATGTATTTTAATGGTGTACCTTTTGCTTTGGGAGAAATGACCATATATGAGTACGTAATGGAAGTTCTATGTCTTAGTAGATTCTTTAAATCGTTTAAGAATATAGCGAGCTATTGTTTCTTTACAGTCTCTTAGAAATTATAGAAGAAGACTCCAATGTTGTCAGCAATTTACAAAAATTAGGAATCGCGGTACGCAAACTCTTGCTCTATTTTGCAAATCTTGGCATTCAATTCAAGCTATCAGTGGCTAATTAAAAATTTTAATTACAAACTTTTTCAATTTTTGAGTCTTTTAAGTAAATAAGGTATCGTGTCGTAAATGATTTTTATTTTGCGTATCATCCATAGAAAGAAGATCAACAGCACTTTATTAAGTTAGCTGCTAAATCGACCTTTAGTTCCCGCGTTATTGATATGAGAGATAATTCAGTTATTGTGAGTTCTGTAAACTGACGTTACATTAAAATTTTAAGGTTCGGTAATAAATACACAATATAAATATTTAAAATACTGTGATATTATTAGTACATTAATAATATCGAAACGGATCAAGATTACTTTCGTTGGCCTTCAAGCGTTCAAGAACTACTACGACCCGCTTTTCCCGGTATGCTGCGATATGTCCGAAAGAATTTATACCATGTCGTAAGTACTAGTATTTACGTGTTGGCAATGTAATACTAAAAATCATTAGAAGCAAATCAAGAGGCTGTCATTTTTATAAATTCAATGACAACTGTATTATGTGTCTGATTTTTTGATAAAGGTCTTTTGTATCGATCCAGTTGAGTCACAAAGCGTTGAAGTCATACAAATGCTGGATTTATTCCATCGTAATTACGTACCAATGCGGTAAGTAATGCGTTTCATGAATATATTACGTAGAAAAATTATTGAAGAGTTATATTTCCGTCAGTACATGTTTTGTGAATGTTTTTTTATTAGACTGGGTATTCTATTTGTGTCAGCTAATAAAAATAAAAACGTAGACGGCACTGTCGATGCTTCAGTAGGAATTGTTCGAGCGTTTTCTTATATTCAGGAATCTAAGGGTGCTCAGGCAGCCCTAAGATGGCTCACACAGGTATATTTAAGATACATTTTACTCTAAAATTATTATTTACTTCTTTTCGACTGGTGAGATTGTTTCTTTAAGCAAATTACGATTTGATTGATAGCTGTATGGAAATAGCATTCCGTCAGCTAAGCAAGTTGTCGAGAAATTTAAAAGTTGGTTTGGTGGCACTTTAGTAAATAAAGTCTTAAAAAATGGTGGAACGTATGACAATTTAAGATTGGTAAGTGCATCAATGTATGCTGTTGTTTTCGCGTTAAAAATAAACCTTCTTTATCGGTCATGATTTTAGATAGTTATGTCTACTATTAAATGGATAGCCAGTTAGCAAAGATATTACTGAAATAAAACTAATGAAACAAGGTTTATTTAGTTTATTAAAGCGGAAGTTACTAAAAGTTAAAAATATTTTTCAGTACCTTGATGTGTAGTATTGTAAGTTGAAATGGTATATTTGTGCTTCTTTTATGTAGGAGAGCAGTTCTTTTTTTGATAGTATTGGAATACGAAAACTACCACAAGTAATCGTGAACGGTGTACAATTAACAGATGTATGTGATAAACTATAACGTTTTATCTTTGGATTTATAATCTGCATTAAATTAGCTCATTAGTTTTCATATTTATTAGTTTCCTATCTTACGCTCTGTACTAATTCTAAAATTGAACCTGACTTATAGCTACATGACATAGAAGGGGGTATCGTTGGAGAGTATCATAATCAGATGCCAAAATTACAGGAATATGTTCAAGCGGTAAATGAACTATAGTATTTCTGATATTTATACGACAAATGGTCGATGGATAGTCGACTACTTTCTGACATTTGAAATGAAATAAAGTGATAGTTAATATAACGTAGTGTCTGCAGTCATATATAGCCACTCTTTATGCAATCTTTGTAACGGTTAAATAATTTCTTGTTTAATTTATCCAATCTGTAGGGAAAAATCTCAGATTCTACAAATATTTATGATTACCTTATGTCACAACCACATGTTATACCAAGATATAGTTATCAAGTTTTCAGAGACAATTTACATTATATAAAGGGATTGAGCCGTTACACAGAAGGTATGCTAAAAATATCAAAACGGGAGATTAGCTATATAACAACGCAATAGCCTCTCTAATGGGTGAATTATAATTAGAATCAAAAGCAGATGAAGTTGAAGGCACCTCAGCAGCTGCCTCCGTTATCAAATCAGTAAATTATGTGATTTCTTCAAAAGGTATGGTAATATTTTAGAATTTTATCATTAGCCCGATGTATATTTTAAAAGATTTATTGCTCTATATTTATCTATTTTAATTTGAGTAACGAATCTTAATTTTATTTGAATCTATATGAAGATTCTTTAAAGGTTCGGCCATTAACTTTTTGGGTTGTAGTGGATTTATTTACCTCATCCGGCAAGCAGCTACTGCTGCAGGCTTTACAGTATCTGGTAAGGCTATAGATCTGTTTCGAATAAAAGTAAACTATATTTCTGATATTATATACAAATTTTGGAGATATCACTTCTGCATTGCTATTTAGCCATGTCTTTCCTTCGTAATATTTGATCGATTTAGTATTTTTATAGAAAATGTACCTAAGTTGCCTCTTATTTCTACATAGTCATCTTCCGAAAAAGCAAGAGTTGGCGTAATTCACAACACTAAGAGCTCTTCCGTTTTGGATGGAAAAAGGCATTCTTTAATTGAATTATACGAGGCCTTAGTACAAGTTGACAACTTCGCTGAGATTTCTTCAGTTAAATCGTTGTTGTCGCACTTCGTAGAGAAACAGATTGACTCTATATCGAGCTTAGATGAAATTCGAAATGTTCGTAAATTTTTTTAATTGGAAAGATTATTAATTTACAGTTAATAAAATTTTTTTTGACTTGGTTAAATCAGGTAAATGTAAATGACTTAAAGTCAGCCTTAAGTGAAGAAGCATTTCAGAAGTCCGTTTATAGGAAAGTACAGAAAGGTTTGGAGTTTTGTCAATCTTTTATTAACCTCGAGGCTGGGCAAAATGCGATTATTGCTAATGGAAAGGTGCAATATTTAATGTCTATTAACATATCTTTTTAATCTATGCAGTACAGTTGTAACAATACCGATGCTTTAGGCGGACCACTGATAAGAAATTAATAGCTACTGGTACTTTCTTTGCCGTTCTTACTATCTATAATCGTTTACGTTAGGTTTATGGTCCTGTCAGTGATGACGATCCGTTCGTTGCGAGTGACTTTAGACTAGTTGAAACATTGGATTGGAGACATCACCTGAAGAAAATTTCCAAACTACTAACGAAATATCAGCCTGGTGATACCTTGGATTCCATAAGGTGAGTTTTGCAATAAATGTAATGCACATCGGGATCGAAGCCTTCATACTTTAAAGTTTTCAAAATTTAAATAGTATTATTAGAATTGATATATACAAAAGTGAACTACTGAGTTAATCAAAGTCATTTTATATTTAGGATGGTTTCTGACATGAATATGGCTATTTCTGGTCTTATTTCTGATAATTCGAACTATGTTCGAACTCAGATGCCTTCTCTTAAACATGCTCACAGGTTAGGGTTATTCTCCAAATTAAATAAGAACCCGCATCAAAGGATTTACATAACGAAATACATAAAAACGGTTCTGATTAATATACAATTGTCATTATCTTTTAGCGCGGTTACGTTTAGCAACTCTGGGTCTGAGCTAGGTCATGAGATTGTCGCGATTATAAATCCGCTATCGAAAGGTATCGTAAAAAGAGAATACAACTGAATAAAAAACCTTGAATATTTATCTTTTTTAATTTGTCAATAAATGACGGAAATTTTATTACATATAGATGCTCAAGTTATGACTCCAATAATAATGGTAAAATCTTGTTGATAATACGTATAATGCCGTATATCATCTGTGGGGTTTACATAACCGGATTTGCCATTAAGTATATTTACGTCAACATTTTTTGTTGGTATTTATTATAGAATTTACTAAAAGCAACTAAAGTGGATATTACTGTGTTAATGAATCCAGCATCTATGCTATCAGAAATGCCCTTAAATAGGTAAATGTTGCGCAGCAAGATTGCTCTTTTGATTTTATGATGTTACCGTGTTTGTGATGAATTATGAAGCTGATCATTATTATTTTTTACTAGTTTTTTCCGCTACGTATTAGAGCCAGAACTCAAATTTAGTAAAGAAGGAAGGTATGAAGTCAGAAATATTTTATAGTTACTTTTACTTTCAATACTGTAAATAAAATTATTTTTTTCACTGTTTAAAGATTGATAAGCAAACCGGTAGCTCAATTTACGAAAATTCCGGAATCCTTACTACTTACCTTAAATATGAAGACACCTGAATCATGGATGGTCGAATCAATGATTTCCGTATATGATTTAGATAATATTCGCCTAGATCAGGTGAGCGAAGTTGCAATATGGTAACATTCATGAAATGATAAGTTTATCAAAAAGTAAAATTTACTATGCAATTTATCACCATAATTCTATTATACTTTATGACTGATGAAAGCAAAATTTTATTTAAGCCTGAAGAAATATTATGGTTACAAATGTTGCTTGATTATGTGTTTACAGCTCAACCAGGGTGTTAAAGCATTGTATGCTCTAGAGTATATACTACTTGAAGGCCATTGCTTTGATAGCGTTACCAGTGAACCACCCCGTGGACTTCAATTTGTCATGGGCACGGATACCGATCCAGCTATGGTGGATACCATCGTCATGGCAAATTTGGTAATATTCTAGTCATTTTTAGGAAATTAATGCTGCGTCATCTTCAGATGATATTAACAGAATTATTATTAAGATTACTTTTTGTTATTTCCTGTGACTTTACCTGTATATTTGATAGGGATACTTCCAAATGAAAGCAAATCCAGGGCTTTGGAAGTTACAGCTAAGACCTGGAAGATCTGAAAATTTATATAAAATTGACAGGTTAGAACCACTGATATTAATGTAATATAATTTTATTAGTAATAATCAGGGACTTCTAGAATTCTCTCCTAGAAGTCTCTTAGAAGTCCCTGGTAATAATATACGACGTGAACAATAGCTAAAAATTATACACTATTTACTAATTTACGTAAGTCATGATGGAGAAATCGGCAAGTCTACTGATTCTATCGCAATTTCTATCGAAAACTTTAAAGGCAAAATTATACAAGTCAAGGTAATTACTCCTATTATTCATCAGTTAGATAATCTAAAATGTGGAATAAAGAATTGACTCTTTATAAATACTTTTATGGAGTGATAATACTAATCGGTATGTATAGGTAGGAAAAAAGCCTGGAAAAGAACGCGAGAGTTTGCTGTCGGATGTACCTGCAGGAAGGGAACAGCCTGGAATTTGGGATTCGATATCGAAGTGAGTAGTTACTTGTTTATTATGGCAAATTAGTACTTTGTAATAATATGTAGAATTAAAATCATTATTATCTCTACAATCAAGCTTTGTTGGTAGTGGTACTTCTCAAGAGGGTATTGAGACGGAATTTAACGAAACCATCAACATATTTACGGTTGCTTCAGGCCATTTATACGAACGATTTCTTAGGTGATTATCATAGTTTATTAGATGGCTTTGAATTTGTTAGGTAAAATTATAAATATCATTATTTGGTACGGCTTAATAATTATTACGCTATACTATAACGGCTTAGCGCGAAAATAATATTTCATGGTCATTCACAGGATAATGATGCTTAGCGTCTTGAAGCATACCAAGAATCCCGTTAAATTTTGGTTTCTTAAGAACTTTCTTTCTCCCAATTTTAAGGTTAGTTTAAAAATTTATCCTTAGTATTGTAGCTTATGAAGTATTCGTTTATTTTCTTAATTTCTCAACTTATTCCATCATTCCTCGTGCTTTATTATCTTGCAAAGGATTCAATCCCTGTTATGGCAAAGAACTATAATTTTGGCTATGAATATGTTCAATACAAGTGGCCCAGATGGCTTCGTCAGCAGACGGAAAAACAACGTGTGATTTGGGGGTAGGTTGTTATCGTTAACTGGGATGAAATTCTTTGTGAAGATTTTTAACCTGTAGAAATTATACCTGATTTTAGATACAAAATTCTTTTCTTGGATGTACTCTTCCCTCTTGGTATAAAGAAAATTATCTTTGTTGATGCAGATCAGGTAGTTAATAACTTTTAGTATGTATGTAGCAATCTAAGAATAGTAAGCTAGACACTACCAAAAGATATCGAAAGAATTTTAGTCTGTCAATATGATGAGTAGTGATATTGCTATTTTTGAGTGGCTGTAATTAACATAATCTACTGTGTTAGCAACATTGTAAAAATCTATGCCTATCGACATTCTATTTGTTATAGATCGTTCGAACAGACTTGAAAGAGTTAATGGATTTAGATTTAGAAGGCGCTCCATATGCTTATACTCCCTTTTGTGATAGTCGCAAAGAAATGGATGGATTCAGGTAATTAATGGATCTACCCTTTGTGGTTTAATTGCTGTAGATTCTAGTTCTTGTATATGAAATTTCTAATTGCTTAATTGGTAATAAAGGTTTTGGAATTCTGGATACTGGCGTCAACATTTAGCTGGTCGAAGATATCACATTAGGCACGTAGTGTGAAATTTGCCTTACAACCGTTTAGCTTTATGTTAAGCACCTATAGATATTTTTCGCAAGCTATAAAATAATGGAATGCTAAAAATTGATATTATAATTGACATTCGTGAATAGTGCTTTATATGTTGTGGACTTGAAACGTTTCCGATTACTTGCTGCCGGTGACAGACTCCGCGGCCAATATCAGGTAGAGTTTATCTTCTTATAGCCTAAGAAAATGATGATTATGAAACTAAATCGGTTTTTCTATTACCGTGGATAGGGTTTGAGTGCTGATCCTAACAGCTTAGCAAACTTAGATCAGGTACGCGCTCAGATATGGTATTTACTGTGATTGCTTTTCGATTTTAATACTATAAAATGCGAAAGATATAATTTCAATATTGATGAATTTATTGTTGTTGTTGGTATGCTATTAGGACTTACCAAATAATATGATTCACCAAGTACCCATTAAGTCTTTACCGCAAGACTGGCTATGGTGCGAGACGTGGTGTTCCGATGGATCGAAAGCTACTGCCAAGACTATTGATATGGTAATGACATTATTCAGTTATATACGAGTATATACAGTACATTAAATCGATTATGGATAGAAAATTTAAGTATATTATCGATTGTAGTGTAATAATCCGCTGACGAAAGAGCCGAAGTTAGATCGAGCTATTCGTATTGCCGAAGAATGGAAAGATTACGATAAGGAGATAAAATCGGTTTTAGAAGAGTACAAAAACGCGGAAAGCAAAAGCTCGAGTGCTGGTGATGACCATAAAAGTAGTGATAAAAATCCGATATAGCCAGACTCTTATTATTAAGACGTAGTGTCTAACTATTATCATTTCTAATCATTTCTTTTAGGTAAAAGGAAAGATGAACTATAATCGCAGAATCTACCTCCTGCATTCTTAAGAAAGATTTTTAATGTAGATTTCGTATTATAATCATTGAATGACTATACATATATTGTGGCATCATCAGTCCCATGTCGGTTATTACTTAGTATCTAGTATTGACTATCATTAATATTAATATAACTTGCGATATAAGGAATGCTTACAGACACAGTGAAAGTTTTGTTTCATACTGATATGAAGTAACTTATTATCAATGTGTCCATGACATATTTGTATTGTCAATTTTTATGTAATAATCCTATTGGAGATTGTCTATTCCCTTAGATTAATTTGTTATCGGATGACTGAGCTTGAATACATCCAGTTACTGAAAGGCTTTTCTTTAAAAAGTAAAGCTTGGTTTCATGGGATTTGTCAACATTTTTGGTGATTGAATGTTACAACGACTATACAATAAATAATTCTTATTTAGGGTCAAATAAAATTTTTGTTATCCAGGGATTCATATTGGGATACAACGCAATGCACTCTTATGAAATAGATTTAAGATAGCCTATGACTGTATTAGCAATGTTCATATTACTATTCTACAATAATTAGCAAATCCCTAAATCGATAATAAGATCTTTTTACCATTAAATTTTGCTAATATTATATGAAATTTGCTAGGATTGCAATTTTCTGTTATCTCGATTCTAGGTCAATACAATCTCCTAAAGCAAACACTGAACTTTACTCGTCGTGACTGTAGTATTACTCTAAGCAAATTCATGTTCTTAAAAAAGCAGGAGTTTTAACTATTATATAATCCGGATATTTATGATGAAGTAGTTGCACCGTATTTTCTTGATACGTACTTTTAAGTACAATACTTACTGAGACGTGCTTTTCCTAGAATGAAGGTAGAAGTAATTGTTACACAAAGTGAAGCTTTAGGCAGATATATACGTATCTGTTCTACTGAGTAATTAAGCTATTCTATTAGCTGTAAATTTATACTTCATTATTCATATGGAAGGCTCTAAATACATTCACGTCAATTCAGGATTATTCTACAAATTATGCATTTATGATTTTAGGCGATTGAGTCATAAATATTGCTTAAATTGCACCATGATGATGAAAGCAAACTTAGAATACATACAGTATAATGTCTGACATCCACTGTGGCACTTATTTGGTATACGGTACGTTTATACCTTTATTTTAAATGTTGATGAATAATGAGATAATATAATAGTCGGATAAATTTCGGCACTTAACTAATCGCTTTTGGTTTAAATTACTTGCTAGTTTTGAAACTTAGCTTTTACCTAGATCTCATTATGCAACCAATACAAAAGTAGTTATATTTGCCATACTAGTAGAACAGTTTCTGCTGATATCTCCCATATATAAACATTTCCATATCGGGATAATGAGTTTAAAGATTAGAGAAAAAACGTTCTTAAGTAGTTTGGAAACTTTCGATCATTTTCATAACACCTTATATGAAAATATTTGTTTTATTTAGTAATAACTGAACGATTTTTAGGATTATTTAAATAGTCGTCAAAGTAAGTGTATTGTCAGTATAATTCATTTATTGCAATCAAAGCTTCTGATCCAATCATTTTTTATATTGATGTTAGTATCATAATATGCTAAAAGCTATAGCTCCAATGATATCGAAAACAGAAATTATGATAACAGTAAGATTAAATTAATAAATTAGGTCTACAGAAGGTTTCAGTATAAGGCTTACTATGTGGATACGGGAAAGGACTAAATTGATTCGATGAGATGCTCATGGTCGAGTTACATTCATTAGCGAAACAAGAAAATAAAATTACATAATAAAATATTAAAAAAAAAATTTTTGCAAATTGTTTGCATGAACACCGGTAAAAGATTTCATATCGTCCATGCTATACTACAATAAAATAAGATGAAACTTCATTACGCGACGACAAAGATCTGATATACGTGTATGATAAGTTTGGTACATAAGCTTTCATTATTGCACAATGTGACCAGGGATCCTATGATACGTGCATACCGTACAGATCATTTTGTGAACTTAAATTAAATTAGATACTCTATAGCTATAGGAGTAAGAGTAATCAATATTATATAAATTCATGGGGCAAAGCTGATCGTTTTTGATAAAATGTGTGATGCAGCTGATATGTTAAAAAGTTAGTTATAGAAGAAGTATATAAATCTGCATAGCGTGCTATTCTACCGCTAAAGTACGTTGCTTTCGATGAGGTCCGAAACATACTTCCGAATCGTGGATTAAATGACATCTTGAGTAATTTTCTATTGAAGAAAATTTAGTTAATAATGGTAATGTTGACAGTAGATAGAAAGGGGCAATCAAATTAACTTTTGTACTTTCAGCGTTACCTAACTTCTTGATATTCTTCTTTCCATTCATGTAGCAGCTGCAAGGCTTCTGGGGATCTGATGCTCTGTTATATTAGAGTGGCAAAAAATGTCGTTAATTTTTAGATACCGGTAGTAATTTGAATAAGATATAAGTTTCATACTTGAGCGCGATCAATGAGTTTTTCTAATGAAATGAGCCAATTTAATGCGCGTTGATAATGGTCCGAGCTTATTATTTCAATTTCTCTCTGTTAGTAGCATTGTATCACAACGTGAAATTTAGTAATTGAATGTAAGTGAAATACTTCTAACCTAATCAATATTATCGTTATAATTAAGGACAATCAGATATTGCTAGTTACTTCTAACTCTGGAATTACTGCTCCAGTTTTCCATCCAAGTTTTAGAGCTAGATCCTATAAATTGGAATTGGGGTAAAGATCAACAATTAAAAATTGATTTTAGTTACATACTAAGAATAGATTTTCAATGTAAAATTGAAACGTAAATAAAGCTGAGGGCAAAATATTTACCGCTAAGTCTCTATAAACTTGATCACCGAAGTATAGCACTTCTGATCCCTTAAAACCGGCTAAATTTAAAAATTCTCGAGCTGAACCCTGTCATCAGAATAAATTTTATATAAGAAATTTAATAGCATAACAATAATAAGCAACTCTGTTTACTTATAAATAATGCTTTTAAATTAGGAGGGATTAAAGATTATAATTATAAATTTAATCATTACCCGTTGGTATACTTCTCCTTTTTTAAAACATTTTACTCTGTCCCATGAGGTAGTATAATCAGATGTCATTAAGTGTCTAAAATGACTGTAGACAGAAGGTAAAAGTAATAATAGAAGTTAAGCACAGAGTATTTACAGATAACAATATTATAAACTTCTTGTAAATCGATGCAGTATTTGCTATGCAATACGTACTGGAAGGCATCAGTATAGAAGCTAGGTTTGCGTGCACTTGTTATAATGATATCAAACATAGATCTCCAGTCTGGACCAATTAAATGTGTCATGCCTGCGTTCCTAATTTAAAGAAACAATAAGCCATAGTAAATGGTCCCGTATATTGTAATATCGTTATTAGGGCTAACAGTTTACGATAATGACCTTTATTGGAGCTTGTATAGAATTTAGTATAGTAATATCATCGTAAAAGATATGGATTAAATATATCATGTTACCAGTTCTGGTAAAGAGTTAACGTCACTGCTACTTACAAAAAATCAAATTGACTATTTGTAATGATGAATATTTTTTTCTTAGCGCTAGTGAGATATTCAAGTAGTTCCTTTAAATCTGGGTCCGGTTCCAAATAATCGCCTACAAATACGTTATTAGAGATAGACCAGCATTACTGCAGGTGTAGCTATATAGATTATTATGTAGTATAGACGACACTGAGGTACAAAATCGATAGCGTTGTAGCAAACTTCACAAATGATTTTATATCTCAGCTATATACGGTTATAATCAGTAAATTAGATAAAATTTTTGAATTACAGATAATTATTTCGGCCATTATAACATATAGATACCACGAGTCATACCATACTGTCAGAAGCCTAACATAATTGTTGGTTATTACTAAGATTAAAACGAATTATGTAATTTACCTATTGCATTTTTGACAGTAGCATGCATTTTACCAGACAAATGAACCTTCTTAATTGCTGCCTAATGGCGTTATAATATTACAGCTTTAAAATTAGTGTCATTAACAACAAGACAAAAGGAACCTAAAGATACTAGGCAAACCTTAACGTCCATAAAAATGTACTTTGGATCATAAGACATAGATTTTTGCTTGAAATACTGCGAAATCGATTTATAAAGTTAAATTTGAAGGGAACTAAGTATGAGAGAAAGATGGAATTGAAGCTTTCATCTTAGTTAACTTACCTCAGCAATTTGAGTTAGAAGTGCCATTTCAGATAAAGAATCTACGTCTATTAATTGGCGCATATACTTACCCTAAAGTTGAGGAGATTTTAATATAATGTTACGTTTAGTGCTGTAAAAAGAAGTTTTCAAGTCATCATATACTGTAGATTAAGGGTATTACATTATCATAAATTGAAGACAAGTACTGGACGGATAGGTGAGTGCCTCCATATGTTGCGAGAACCTCAGAATCATCTAGAGGAGTATAGCCTCTGCAAATATAAAATTATGTGAGCTAAACTTCTATTGCTTAAGATATCCATGATTATAGTTTTATTGGGTACTTGGAATTAATCATTGCTATTGATACACATGAATTGCGACTCATCACTTACCTATAAACGGTTCCGAGCTCAACATGATGCTGAGAATCGATTTTCATTAATAAGCCCTGAAAATCCATGTGTATTTTATTTAGATATTAGTTATAAATCGATTGAAGTATCTTGACTGTTTAGAGCGAAAGATAGAGTACGCCATTTATTAACACTAGTAAGTATTTGAATATCAAATGCGACAAGCCTTTTTAGCATACCTTTTCAATATCATAATGGAGGCCTCTAACTCCAAAGCCGGGATCGTATGCAAATGATTTCATTTCTTTAGGGTACTATCAACAAATAGAATTACGCGTATAAGTGTTGAGGTAATGAAGAGCTAACAATTTTAACACTTATGCAAATGAATGCTGCCATACATATTGCAGCTATACTCTATAATTAAGGATAACTACTATATGTTCGGTACGAATTGATATATTTTACTGATTTTGTCGATATTTATACTGCACTGTACAAAGAGAGCAGATAAGACAACATACTATAGTAACTATTAATGCTGGCGTTGTCTTGTCTGTAGTCAATGTAAAATAATTATTAAAACTCAATACTATTTTTTTACCTTATTATCTTCGATTAAATAATCTAATGCCATATCAAATATTAAATATTGCAGTTTTTTCTTGTAAGAAGCAATAGTGTAATCATAATCGAATCCATAGACTTTAATTTCATCTAAGTTGACTTCCTTATTTGCAAAGATTCTATTAGGGCTGATTTGGATATCATAAGAGCGGTCTACCAAGAATAAAAAAATGAGCAATTAATTAATAGTACACAGTAAAATAAAAGTAAGGATATATTCGCTTTGGCACCGATTAATGTATGTTACATCATTTCATAATATCAAAAAGACGATAATACGCATAAATAGAAGAAAAGGCGTATTTAGAAAGATTATTTTATTTTATTACAGTTAGTATAACTTGATTGCGTAATAGCAGTTGAATGTGAGTAAAGTTTATGTAAGGATGTTCTAGTGATATTGGTGCTATTACTGTACAGTAGTATAGAGTATAGTACAGGCTTCGAGAACATTTTTTCTTTTATTCCTGATTATATTCACTTGAATAAAAGCTCTAATTTTGACTAATTACTATATTATTACATGACAATATAGCGTTTAAGGTAATGTGTGTATTTCAAAGAAATAATGCAGTAGACTTGTAGAGTAATTATGTATTATAATACTGGAGGTGTAATTATAGTTTGATTAGTGTATGTTCTCAGGATTACGTGTAAAGCATGATAGGGAAATTTAAAAAAAAAAGAAGCAATTTATACACAAAAAACGGCGGTGAAGAGTTTTGATGAATTTAATTTTTAATAGTTCATAATCTTATTCAGACTATTAGCACAGGCGGAAAAGGGTAATACCTTTCGGGTCATTTATATAACATAGATTGTAAGATATGAGTTGAAGGAATACCTTAAAATTATAAACTCGCATCAGTTGCAAGGCACTTGCTTATTCTAAAGATTTTTACAGCTACGGTCACTAATGCTTCTAGTTAATCTAGACGTAAAAGGTAATACCTATCGAGTCGCTTATATGCCATAAGAATAGATATAGTCTATTCCGGGGATATAAGTTTAAGGATGTTGTCACGGTGTTGAAGACCACCGTTAAGTATACTGTATAGATACGTTGTATTGATCGTTATGCAGTAGCTACATTGTCGTAAGGTTATAGTTTGTAAAACTAACTCATTTTCCAGTATAGGCAAGTAAATTCGTTAGATACCTAATTTATAGAGAGCTTAACGGTGAGGTTGTGCTCTGATCATGACAGCCTCGTGTTATATGCGTACTCGAACGTATTTTTAAAATAGAGTATAAGGAGAAAGCCTATATCGTTTTTGTCGTGAAACTTAAGTAAAAGGTTCATAGTTATCACGGGAAATTAATGTTGATGAGTAGTTCGAGATAGAAGAAGACTCGGAAAAATCTCCGGTGTATCTTTGTCACGAGAAGAATATATACTTCTATGTATTGGTGACAGATATATAAAAATTACAAATTCATGGACGGGTAAAAAACTATACGAGATTCTTACAGCCGTAGTCATTATTACAATTTAGATAGGCAATATAAACAAAGGTAATGCCTACTAGGGCTCTTCAAAAAATAATAATAATATAAACTTTCATACATGTCGAATTGATACATATACTAAGTATAGAATTGTGTTGTACGTTGGATCATTTCTATATCCTTGTATGCATCGACATGAATGGAAAAGTAATTTATAGCCTGTCTAGGTAATTAATTGGCGACCAACAATTGGTTATTAAATTAATCATTACAATTGATTAATTAATGCAGGATAGGCAATAGAATAGTCGATACGAAGTCTTTTATACCGCAATAATGCTATACAGTATAAAAGTAAGCCAAGGACTTGAACTTACAATAGATTTAAACAGTCCGTTACATGTGTTTAGAATATTCGTGACAATAAAAATGGATTTTCGTTGATAATCTATGTACGGAAGGATGTGTAACAAATAAACTATTAAAATTGGCTAGGATTAAACTGAGAGAGTAACATGCGATCGAAACGGTCCTATTTTGGAGGAGAAGGGCTTTTAAAGTTTGACGGAGATCATATAATTATTTGTTTACGCATAATAATAATAGACAAATACTGTAACAAGAAAATAGGCTTTAATGGCATGGAGATGAAATAGATATGTGTAATAGTAGAACTGCATATATAAAGGCCAAGTTTGAATTAATTAGAAGTAGATATTACGCAAAGTTTTTTATCGGTAGGCTTTGTGGAGAATTGATCAAACTAGCGATTACGAATATCAATGTCGATTCGATGCGGATAATTTTATTTATGATGTAGAGTCCATGCAGGGGGGGGGGGGGATTTATGGCCATGGGATTTATTTTGCACTTACAGAATTAGAAGAAAGGTTGAAAGAGGGTTCATTTACACCCTTTCCATTAATGATTCTTTCGCTGTTTGTCTTAGCGTAAGTTTAAATCTTGGGCGTTTATTGGATTTCAAGCCAACGTGTAAGTGCCAAGCTATGTCTTCAATGGGCCATTGCAGATCATAAAACTGTCGTGCAAAAGTAATTCATTTTGCCATACAATCTTGGCTGCTATGTTGACGGAAGGGTTCAAAACCATAGATGATAGAAGGATAGATAGTCATTGATATACGTAGTTTACAAAAATGTCGTGGGGTTAAGGCTATCCACTGAAATTCTGTAGTAGTTTATGATAGAGAATTGACAATGTCAATGGATTACTGAAAATGGATAAATTGATTTTTCAACCTAATTTGGCTATTAATTAATAAATAAAGATTGAATTACGTTTTTATCAAGGTTAACAGGTATCAAAATGAACATCGTATAGTCAGTAACAAGGATCTTTTTCAACAGCATAATGATTATACCAAAATAATCATTTAAAAAAGAGACGAATGGCTAAAAATAGACGCAGGTGATAACGGCTGTCCTATCTAACGATATGCAATCAGACTAAAAGTTCGTTTTCTGCATGCACACAGCAAAACAAATATGTTTATTTTATGTTTTTATTTTACAAAACATTGGTCGTGATGAATATCCAAGATAGGCCATTAGAATCAAGCAACAGAAAGTCAGTATACTGCTTCGATTGAAAATTACTACTGGATGTCTATAGTTACAACCTATCCCTTTACTCCTTAACATGTGATGGACCCTTTTCCCACACCACCGTTGACATGAAGAGAGAGTTGTAGCATACATAGATTGGATAGGTTCAAAATTCAATTTGTGTATGGCAACAACATGATCGTTGAAAGTTATTCCTTAACTAAGGGAAACTACAATAACTTAATCATCGTAGGCAACGACACATTTCTATCGCCTTGACTGAACAAATTTAACGTCATTCTAGGCATGCTAGCACATAATATTTTTACTTTTCGGAAGGAATCCATTTGATGGCCGAAAGGGCACGATAGAGATGGAACATGTACCGAATGCATGTGTTGGTTTCTTTGCATGGTACTGGTCTTCAATCATGGATTGAACGAGTCAAGGGTACTAGTCTACTGCGGGGAGAAGAATCGTAATTTTAACGACTTGGTGATACTTGTATATAATACAACATGTCGAGAGATGAGAAAGGGATCATTTAAGCGTATTATCAACATCTATTTCGGAAAAATATGTAATTGACTCTGTCATTTTCCTTGTCACAGCCGGAAAGAAATCGACTCCACCACAGTAGTACACGTCTAGTTGAGGGGTAAGCTACGATTACTGTATAAATGGCAGGCTGCAATCATAGAAAGAATCTAAGTGATGGAAGTCGATTAACTACTATTCCTTAATCACTAGCAGTATATATAAACCGATGACGGAAATTATTCCTTCGATGAATCCATGTTGCAAATGATGCGAAATACTTACTCAACGATTTCTCTTTATCAATTCTGTAAGAATCGAGCAAGGCTGATGCCGAACTGACATCGCTTTGGACCTTATTATAACTTCGATGCAGTACATAATAAGGCAGACTTGTCCAATTTCTCTTTAAATATCTTGACAGCATCGTTTATGGGTACAGATCATAAATCATAAGGGGAAAACAGGCAAAACGAAATAGAAATGGTAGCTACTAGGGGAAATTGAAAATGATTGTGGGTGTCGTCGATGACAATTCTGCTCATGTAGCGGGTATGATGCAGTTGACCGTGCTGTATACGGTAGACAGACACAGACTGGGCGGACGGTATCACGTGGTGTATTAATTGGAGTTGTGTTTGCGATACCGTATAGTCGACTGTATGGGAGTTCTTGTCCATCCATTCGACCGCATGGCGGTACTTAATGTAAAATCAATCAGAAGACTCTTACTCTAACTGTGATTAACTCTAATGTTGATCCGCAAAATTGATCAGAAGACTCCTTCTACTCTCCCTACAGCTAAACACAAGGTCGATGAGCTAGAAGAGTGTAAAGATGCACGAACAATATGCGAAATCCAACGATGTCTCGTGTTGCTCTGCACGATTGCATCGCTAGTTGGCTACCTAGCTAATGGAAGTTGAGAAATTCTCTAACTGCAAAGATCTATTGCTCTTCATTTTATTGTACTACAGCACTATTACTATACACAGTACAGCACAAAACCAATCCAATGTGGTGTATGTTCGAGTGGTAGGCGTAAGGTAGAGTAGAAATGGTCAGCAAAGTGGTCATCAACCTCTTCCATTTCCACTGTCGAGAACGATAGTTGGACATCCTTTTCTCTTTGAGTAATCCTTGTTCACTCAGTGCTCATGCCATCTCCTCTTGGACTTGACCATTGACTATAACACAGACTACTCTATTTCTACTGTAGGAATGGAGTAGTCCAAGCGATTTCGCGGATAGAGAGCTTTTAAGACTGCGTCGACACTTATAAACTTGTAGAGTCTGGCGCCAGTACTGCCGTTAGTGGTGGAACTTGTTGCAGTATTTGCATCATGAATTCAACTTGCAAAATGTGTAAAACCAATGTCCTAGAAAGCCTTAAGCGATGAGTTAACTGACGACATCTGTTTTACACAGTTGTGGACAAACAGCGATTTGATGTTGAAATAAATGACTGTACCGTTTTCGACGTACAGAATCGCTCAAATGCATCAGGCCATAGACTAATCTATCAAATGTAGTCTTGTCCTGTATGCGCTGGTATCATCGACAGCGCCAATCCCCTAGCGATTTCCATAATTCAAACTCGATATCGTTCAATTGGCATCAAGTCGTAAACTACTTTTAATTGAATACGACAACAAGTATGAAAGATATTATGTGGTAGGTTAAAGTACACAGTAATACTATAACTATTACACGCAATAGGGCAATGTTGCTTAGCGTATCGATAAGTACTTCGAAATTTAGCCTAGAGCGATTTCGATAATTCAAAACTCGATATCGCTTACCATCCAAGTCTACTGTACTTTGAATTGAATACAACAGCTATCATAGAGGCAAAATTTAGAACTGCTCTACAAGTACAATAAAGGATAGACAGCAGTAATAACATCGGTGTTGCATGCAATGTCGCTTAGTGTATCTATCAGTACCTCAAAATTGAGCCTAGAGCGATTTCGATAGTTCAAAACTCGATATCGCTCACCATCCAAGTGGTCAACTACTTTTAATTGAATACAGTAACTATTCTAGACGTCAAAAATGGGGAACTGTTTTACCACTACGAATATGATATTATGGACTACTAGCAATTTGTGGTTGTCTACTGATACAAGTAGTAATAGTATAGTAGTCAATTGCTTTTAATTGAATACAGCAACTATCCTAGACGCCAAAAATGGGGAACTGTTCTACCAATCCGAATAATATTATCTGTTCTAGACGCCAAAAATGGGCAACTATTCTACCACTACGAATGAGATTATGGACAACTAGCAATTTGTGGTCGTCCACTGATACAAGTAGTAATAGTATAGTGGTCAACTGCTTTTAATTGAATACAGTAACTATCCTAGACGCCAAAAATGGGGAACTGTTCTACCACTACGAGTATGATATTATGGGGAACTATTCTACCACTACGAATGATATTATGGGGAACTATTCTACCACTACGAATGATATTATGGGAACTATTCTACCACTACAAATGAGATTATGAACAACTAGCAATTTGTTGTGGTCGTCTACTGATGGCAGTACAGTAAGACGTCGAAATTGAGCCTTTACTACTGACATACATACAGACAGACAGAGTACGGACTGTGGACTGTAAAATACAATACTGTGCTACCGTACTGTACAGTACAGTATCGTATTGGGTGTACAGTACTTTATGGTCGTGTGTACAATACCATGTACTGTAGACGAAACGCGCCGTCAAACGGCGCATGGCCGACAGCCTTATTATTATGCAAATGAGAATATTTCCACAGCAACCAAAAACTGCAACAAAAGTCTCAACGTTTACAACGTTGATCGTTAACGTTAGCCAATATCGACTTAGTGGTCCATGTATGCTATCGGCAGACGGTATAAATCATGATGGATTGCGGTGGGATATGTTCTTGTATACAGTACACCAATTTCTTGCTGAAGAGTTGAGCAACACCGCCGATACTATTTACACTACAACTAGCTGCATCATTCTGCAGTTAAATATCGACAAGATTGGTCCATTAGTAGAGGTCCTATCCAACAAAATTCAACTCTGAGTGATGACCTACTCAGTACAGTTCAATCATTTTCAACGTAAACTTATTGAAAATCGATATCCAGCTATATTATCATCCTTGATTAAAGTATCAAGCAATTAAGAAAGGTAAGAATCAATCTCTCATCCTGTTCATGTTTCACCTACATCAATACTGTAGATTTGAAGTTGAACAAGTATTATCATCACTCAATCACCTTCAATAACGACTAACATGGATGTATGCAATATCATAAAAATACGATAGACATCACCTAACAACAATAAGAATAGCAGAATATCCTACAGTAATGATAATAATGAGCCAAACCCGTCGCAATTCCACGGAATATAGTGCGATTTGAAGCAAATTTCTCAATGGATGTGATTGGATATTTCCAATCTTTTTAATTTGATGATAGTGTATGGTGTACGCCGCAAATCAATTCAATCAATCAATTCTTCGTCTTTCAATTTGAGTATAAAATCTTAGTCGATAACAATTTCCTAACCATCGTCAAATGATACTAAATGGAACGGTCAAAATTAGGAATAATCTGAATACAAAACGTGCATAGAATGTTAAAAGTTACAAATTTCTAGTGTCTACAGCATATAGCATGAAAAGTGAATAGCCAATACGAGTGATTAATGATTATAGCAAATTTGACCGTCAATAATATAATATGAATAAACCTGATGCAGAATACATAAAGAATATTAAAAGTTCTAAAATTACATTAATATATATCTACAGCACATAGCATAAAATAGGTCGCAACTAAGTACCAATGATAAAATAACGACAACATATACAGCTCAAGCAATGTTGAAAAGTTATAAAAATATAGAAATGCGTCCTATTAATATAGCTACAGTAAAGACCATGAAAAAATTTCACTGCTAAATACGAAGGATAAAATAATTTCAACTAGTTTTACCATTTATATGATAAATAACATATACAAAAGAACATCCATGATTATAAAATGTACATCATAGTCATATATCTACTGTGTGCAACACAAAAAATTGCGTAGCTAAATACTAACGATGAATTGATTATAGCCAGTTTTTGCGATCTATACTATGAATCATTCTAAGAAAGGATGATATTCAGTAGAAGAAAATATCGAAAGTTAAAAGTGATAACATCTACAGTAAATAGCATAAAAAATAAAGTAGAACTGCTTCCGTTATCACCTTGGGAGATAAGATGATTGTCAACTTTATACAGAATCTAGATGGATAATACTATTAAAATAACACAATAAATCCACAGCTTCCATGTGCTCATTTATCTAGATCATGGATCATGATGAAAGACTTCGCTGGCTTGAAACTAGAATCACTAGTTCACTACATGCTCGCTCAGAAGATGTTAAAAATCTTGTTTCCAATGAAGAAAATAGGTAAACTAACTAGGGCAATACACAATCCCTTCTTAAAAATTTGAATAACTCGTATTGTCATTTTATTACCTACTTTAAGTGATTGCAAATCAAAGCTTATATATAAGCAATTCCATCTCTACCCGATGTATAATTATAATTTTATCTCAATGTCTACAAAAATGACACTACAATAATAGTAATAATTGCATTGTGTGTATCAGCAACTTGCTCAATTCAATAGTAATAACTAGGATATTAGTCTTGATAATTAAATTACCATAATTAAAAAAATTCTTTCAACTTATGCATGTAACTAACTCGAGTGATATTTCTTTACTAATTTGTTGATATGAATCATCCACCAATATTAGAAATGTTATTTCTGAATTCTTCAATAAAGAAGGCAAAAGAACTATGTATATCTATACACAAACAGCCGTTTTACCAGCATCATTAAAGGCTTCGTTTCAACCTCCATCAGATCTAGAAGATAAATTAATTTTAATTCAAAAATGCCCTGAGACAGGAAAAGTATCAAAAGATAACATTTCAGAAGAAATTTTCTATTGTGATTGCACTAAAAATCCTTTAGATCATTTAACCATGGTTTCACGTGAAGTCTATCTACCTATGCTATGCAATGAGCATTTTAACGCAACCTATGGCGATGATAAAGTGATTGATGCGTTACAAAAGTGTCTTAGCAGTTTTCAAATTACTCGCGGTCATGTTGATGTTAGTAATAATGTATATCTAGCGAATTAAATTAACTTGTATACTTCATTTTTAAAGCTTATTAAAATTTTGGGCAAAATTATTCCTACTTTAATATTTAATTTTACTATTTTCAATGTAATGACTCCTTTTCCAATAGGGCCAAATTATTTTACCACTCCCGCCTATTGACATCCTGGCAGATGCAACAACTTATTCTAATCGTAGTGCTGCAGTTATCCATTTACTAGAATCGGTCATGATTGGTTGGATTAAACAAATCAAAGTTGCTCTACGATTTGAACCTAGTCATGAAATTATGAAACTTTCTGATCATAATCGTCCCGGACCTTTAGCAGAAGTTGAAGTTAGTTTAACAAATTTATTCTTAATCGATGTGTTCACAATATTAATTAGCTCAAAATTAACTATTCCTATACATGATAGATTTGGACAGATCGTTACAAGCGTTTAAATCACATTATGGAGCAACTGGATCAGCCACTTGCAAGTGATATTTTAAATGATTTAGAGAACGCAAATAGCACTTATTGGCATTCATTTCTTAGCGTTCGAAAAGATATCCTTAAAGTAAGTGTAGTTTAGGGTAAAAATTAAACTAACGTTATAATATATTGCTGACGTAATGTTCGTCTATGGTTTCACTAATGATATACCCAATTGGTTATGCTTTAAGTAATTCAATAACGATCTAGCCTACCCTAACTGAGTCTAAATACAGCTCATTCATAGCTTTATTTAAACTTTTTCTGATTATATGCAAAGTAAAATTAGACATGTAGATAACAGGTCTAGTACTTAAATTATTTTTTATCTTAAAATACTTAGGCACTCGCTGAAACACGATCAAACTTGGTCTATCTGAATACCATGGTACCTTGGTTTCAAAAATTACACGAAGCTTACGAATCTGATGCTATAGCTTCAGTTTTTCCACCACTTATTCATCTACTCTATTTGGTTTGGAGTAATTCTAAGTTAGTACACGTAACTATTTGTTAGTAGGAAAATCAATAAAACATAATTAAAGTGATACCCTTGCAAGGATATTCAAAGTAACATATTCGACTAATAGAACCGCGTGAAATAATATTATTATTATTTTAAATGCTGTAGATACTACCATGGTGTCAGCCAATTCCATCGGTTACTATCTTTGATTGCTAACGAAGTTGTTAATCGAGCTCAAAAACTTGTAGGTAAAAGGATTCTTGAAGATACAGAAGAGGTAATAACGTTATCCAGTGGTAACAAGTCTTTTTATTTATTCTCATAGCCAGAATATGGATAAAGTATTGTGTACATATACATGTATACTCGTATATCTATACATTTATTTTATTTTGTCATTTTACAAAAATTCTACTTTCACTTAATATCATTATAGTCGTACCTGAGGTTGAAAGATGCTCTCAGAGTATGCGCCCGATTTCGTGGCATTTACTTAGACAAAAAAGACAAAGCAGATTCTTTGAATAGGAGCAAAATGGCTGCTCTTTCTGATACAATGTACGTAGAACATCAATAATATGATGAAAGTAGATGAATGAGTTTGCTATAGAAAGGACTTACTTATTAATCGTATTGTTTTAGGTACGGAACTGGAGTGGAAAAGCAAGGAGCTGGTGGTTTTGCTCAAATTTTACTTACCGGTGGAAATGGTGTCAATCATACTGAATCAGTAGCGCTTACAGCCGAATTAACTGACAAAAACTGGTCAGACTCACCATGGCCTGCAAGAAATAATTCAGCATTTGTCTCGCTAAATAGTTTTATGGAAAGATGCAATGACGCTCTTGAACTAGTTCAGACTTCACAACATTTCCGTTGCTTAAAATCAGTTGTCGATGTTGGTGGTGCTGGTGGAAGTAGCTTGAATGCTCTAGTTGAAGAAATTCACATTAAATTTGTTGTTACAATGAAAGACTTCTTATCAGTAGTCACGGTAATATTCTAAATTATTAAAATTTTTCTTCTTTTTTATTACCTTATTGAAAGATTTTTTATTGCTTGTGCACCAATTAAAAATATTGTTAATTGTCACCGAATGGGTTCAATGTAGCGGTATAATTTTTAAACGTTAGATAGGAGTGTTTTAGTGGACTACTTATTTTACAATAGAGGATAATTATAAATTTCATCATTGATATTAATCTACTGTATATATGTATACCAAGGATGTACTGGACATTGATGAAGGACAAAACTTTGAAAATGCCTTCTTTCATTTTAGATCCGTCGTTAGAGTAAGTCGTATTGCTAAGTCCTTTGAGTTATAAAATATGTTCAAGGAAATAAGAATTGCTCATTAAAATATTTGTATTCTGTATAATCTAGGATCTAGAATCTCGGCTAGCTAGCATTCTCGGCCAAACGTTGACAGTTTGCCCAACCATTGGAGCTAAGTTAAGATTATTGGAAGTTTATGAAGGCATTAGTTGTAGAGATAATGTCAGGGTAAATTTTGCTTTGTCTTAAGCTTCAGGATAACCTTGTTTCCATTAAATCTTTAAAAATTAAAATTTTGAAATTGTTTTATCCTTCAGGCAAGCCTGAAGAGCATCATTAATGATCTCGTGCAGTCCATCATGGATGAATTGCTAAATGTAAGAAGTATGTTCGATTACTACAACGGTAACTCCCCTAGCCACGTTAATCTCCCACCAGTCACTGGTAAATTACTATGGCTTTATTCTATTCGAGCACGTATTCAGGTATGTATCAGTAATTTTGTTATTTCTAATGCTGATGCGGCTAACTTTTTCAAGCTTTTCTTCTAACACTTTCAAGGAACCGATGTCAAAAATGAGACAAGTCAGTCCTGATTCCCTGGAAGATGACTTTGGCTGGCAAGTCAGGCATACATACAGCGACTTGATTAATGATATTTCGCGATGTGAAAGTGAAATTTTAAATAAATGGCAAAAAACTATTCAAGCAGACTTAAGAAATAAATTAAAAAAGCATTTATTGGTGAGTAGCTGCAAGTAAATTGGATGGGCATCAAGCTTGCTATTAATTACTTCATGTAGCCATAAAAAATTAAAATTATAAAGTGGTTAATTTCTAGCATATTGCTTTTTTTACTTGTTAGATATTTGTAACAGCGGAAGACGGTAATGGAAAGATCTTACAAGTTAATTTAGACCCCGGCTTACTACTACTTCTTCGCGAAATACAGTATATGTCTGCTCCACCACTCAATATTAATTTGCCCGATAACGCCAGAACTCTTCTTCGTAGCACCGATGTTTACACGATCCGACAGATTGCAGATAGATTGGAAACAATCGCATCAAAGTATAATGCAATAATGAAAAATATGAGCTATTTTGAACGACCACTTTTTCAAGAAAAGGTCGACAAGATTCATCTGGTAGGTCGTTTATAATTAATCTATTAATACATACAACTTCCGTTACTAAGAGGACTAACTCAAACATGGATTGCAATTTCTAGCTATTACAATCTGGATTAGATAATTTAACCTGGAAGAGCGTCGAAGCTCCGGATTTTATTGAAGCAATGACTAGTTTAATATGCTCCGACGTTCATCGTCATTTGTCAATTGTGCAATTGAATAGCCAAGAGATTAATAATGTTATTGCATCATGGTCTACTAGTCAGCGACTTGATGTATTTTCCATCCGAAGTCTTGATCATTCGTACTCCATCGAGGAAGTACAACTTTCACATAGGTACTGATATCTTTCAATATCTCCATACTACTTTATTATTACGATACGGAAAGGGTAAATGGATTAACAGAGAGATAGATATTAAATTGGTGAAATAGGAATATTCAGTTATTTTTTAAACTTAACTAAAATTCTTTTTCTCTATTAGTTCATTACGGGAAGCGTACGAGGGAAATGTAATTCCTTCGGGACAGCGCATTCATACATTAGTCAAATCTTCCTTTGAAGTAAGTCATTAAAGTAGAGACCTCGATTATAGATTACATAGTTATTTATTAATAAAGTAAGGAATAATAAAGTACAATGTTTTGTATACAACCCAAACATATTATGCACTATGTAACGTGGTTTTTTAACGCACAAATCGTTAAAATTACATTCTCTAGAATTTAAAATTGGCCTTGCGGCTAATTTAATATCAGCTCGTATAAAGGATATGACAGTGAATTTTTGAAATAATTCCATAATACTTACTGTGTAAAGGCCTAACGTAATTAATTTTGATTCATATTTAGCTTTGGAAATATATTGATTTCGTTACTAAGACCGCCTTCGACATAATACGATTTTTAAATTAAATTTCGTTAACTTTTTACAAAGTAAAAACTAGCCTAAGTACAGTATATAAATATACAGTAGCCTTTGTGTTTTTACACAAAGTGAATTGTTTTCAATGATTTTAATAGAATTGTCAAATAAGCCGCGCGTCTCCAGCTTGGAGCGATTATATTAATTATCTTGAAGACTTAGTCAAACGGGGCTTAAAAGAAGCCACTATGTCATCACTTCGATCCATGTACAATCAACTTACGGCTGAGGTTTGTAACTTACGCGTCTGTATAGCAAATACGGAAATGAAATTATATGAAAACAGATTTCTAATGTGATATCCACGCTAATTCCATTATTGTATCCTGGATTTGTGAATGTAACTGAAATTTAGAACGCTGTTCCAGTGTTGACGATACGCCTGGAATTGATCGGGGAAGAAGTAACATTTACCCCTCCTTTAACTAAAGATACTTCAATTCCAAGCATACAGGAAATTTCAACATCTTGGCTTGATAGCTACTTGAGAAGAGCATCATTAATAAAGTGCCTTAAAGATCCTGATAAGGTAAGGGAATATAAGAGTTATGAGTGTTTAGTGCTATCAGTATTAGATTTGAATTAATAATGGAAGTAATAATGAAAATTTACCTTCGGTTATGCTTGTGAATGATTGTCGCTTAAGGATTAAACTCTTCTATCGAATTATGAGAAATTGAACTTCTTTGTAATTAGACCAATGGATATCGAGATGATATTGAAAATGATCTAGAAATTATTGTAATTGTTGAAAAAATCAAAGACACTATTGAGGAAAGAATAGAAGAAGCTAAGGTTCTCCATTGCATTTATGCTAAATTTTTGACTATCGATCTAATGATTGCAGTCAATTATCTTCTTACGAGCACTTCTATTTTAAAATATGCTAGAAATGTATCGCATGGTACAATGAATACTCTTTTTTATGGACCCAAGATGTGCAACAATCTTTTCAAAGCTTTCTGAGAGGAAAAATTCAATCAATGCCTGAATCACCTACTGTATCACGTCCTAACTCTCGATATGATAAATCCGTAACACATTCAGCCACGGTGTAAGCAGAAATCTATCAAATAAATCTTTTTGCCTTTTTCATAACATTCCCCTATTACCATATTTTGATATTGTACAATTTGCTCCGTACAATATAGTGTCTTAGTACATTAACAGCTTGAGGAAAACATAAAGACTAAACTCGATTTAAAATGGTAACCTTAAGGGATTATCTTATTCTTAATACAGGAGTAGCTATAATGAATCAACTGGTGCAAATTTGAGTATGGGCGACAAAATTGGACGTATTGAGAAATCGTTTCTGCAATCTACTTTTAATAATGATAATCATATCGATAATTTGCCTTCGCTGGATGCATTTGATGTTGAGATAAATATTTACAAGGTAGAATTGCCTAAACTATTTATACGATTACATTATATACTCTTGAAGTTAGATATACAAACAAACCATGAAGTAACAGTTATAGGATAATATAGTTAATATATACAGATTAAAGTTTTATCCGATTTGCTTAATATAATTTTTTCATTTTTTTCATGCATCTTTTAGAAAGCACGAGATGAGATCAAATCTTTACCCAAGATTCGTGATGAAGGCTGGTTACGAATTGACATGCATCCAATTCGACAAGTTTTAATTACATATGCAAGTAAATGGATGCATACATTCACTAAATACTTAAAAGATCAAGTTACAGCGATGCTAAATGCATTAGATAGTTTTATAAGACGCGTTGAACCAGGTATCGAAGATATATCTGGTGATGAGAAGGATACGGCTGCTTTTATGAAATTGATGCGTATCTTTAATGAGGTTAGGGTCTCATCGTAATCGCATACTGTCAATGTTTTGTTATTAATACCTTATATATTGATATTATGAGTACTTAGACGACTATTAATGTAAGGATTGCAGTTGCCTATGTTACTAAGATAACAAATTCTGAAATTCTTTCCAAAAATTGAAGGTGAATGCTCAGCAGAACGAATATGATGCAAAATTTACTGTTATGCATAAAACTGTTAGACTATTAGAAAAATATGGCCAAAGTCTTCCCAATAAAACACAGAAATTCTTCGAAGCAGCACCAGGGAGGTGAGAAATTTTTGAAATTGATTACTGAAAGGATATCATATTTTATATTATTTATTTAAATATTATTTGTGTTATACGATTTATTACGTATTTTATTAATAATTTGTGGTCTCCTACTAATTTCAGATGGAATAACTTGAAAACAAAGGTTGCTTTAGCTAAACAGCGACTAGGCCCCAGAATCCAGGCATTATCGACTGAAGTTATTCAAGTAATCTTGCGAAATATTATTATTACATAATATTTGTAAAAGAAGACTCTAACAACATTCATCGGTATTGTGTGATAACGATCGTTACTATAAACTTATTTGTTACAGGATTTATCTGTTTTTGGTACCAGATGCGAGACTATATGCAATGAATTTGGAAGTTGTGAGGCTTTCGATTATAATTGCAATTCAGATAAGGTGGACACAGTACTGAACACATTCAGCCATGGTTTAGCAATTCTAGAAAGAGAGGCTTACGTAAGAGAGATAGTTTTGTAGTTGTATCAACTGAATTTCTGCGAATTACACCGTTGCAGACACAACTTATATAGTCCAATTATTTTATGTTAAAATGTTACTATGATACTTTAATTATATTTAGTTAGTTGATGTACTTATACATTATGGTCTCTCCTCTGGTTTTGGGATTTATGAAATTTCTGCTAAAATCCTTTACCGCCTCATTTAGCTTTATATAACGTGAAATAATTACTTATTCTGACTGTTTCAGGATTTGCAAGAATTGCAGGAATTACTAGAAGTACGAGTGGTTGATTTTACAATTTTGCCCAAGTCAGTATAATTTAAGAAATGTAAAGTAAAATGATTCCAATAATATTTACTCTGTCAAATTTCTTGGACTTTGTTTATAACGTAATCGATCATCCATTATTTCCTTATTAGGTGTCGTAATGATATATCTTGCCTTCAAAGTGTTTGGGAAACTATCAAGTAAGATTAATAAGGTATACATATGTAAGATGCAAATACCAAGTAAATAAAACTTGCGGGTTATTTTACGTAGAGTAATTAAGGTTGAACATGACGAATGGAAGCATATGAAATGGGTAGATCTAGATATGGATGTGGTAATGTCAGCAACAGACAATCAGTTGGATCGTGTCTATGCTTTACCACCGGATTGCAGAAACTGGGATGTATATAATTCTCTACGCGAATCAATTTTAGAGATTCAGGTACTTGTTTCATAACTTTTTTAATATAATTTTGGTACTGTTAAATTGATTGCATTTGTACCGATTCGTATCTAATATCGATTTAAAATGCTATTAGGCCTACATACCCATTATAGAAGATTTAAGTAGTTCATCGATGCGTACTAGACATTGGAAACAACTTATAAGAGTTATAGGAGGAAATATTCCTGTGGATAATAATGGCTTAACTAATTTATCTTTTAATACCTTATTGAAATTGAATTTACAATGTAAGTCAACTAATTATTTCTCCAGTTCCGATTTTATTTATAGAAATTGACAATTTTACACTTTCGAATGTATTATCATATTTTTAGCGCATATTGAAGATGTTCAATCAATCGTTTATCGAGCCAATAAAGATCTGGCAATAGAAAAAACACTTAAAACTTACGAAGAAGTTTGGCTAAGTAAAACATTCGATCTGATTCCTCATACCAAATTGCGACCAACAACATCTAGTGGACCCGATGTATGACGTCTAAGTTGTTATTTTAAAATGGGCACCAAATTTTATTTATTAATTTATTATTAAAAGAATATTTTGTGTTAAATCCCATTGTGCTTAAATTGTTCTTGAGAATGATTCCTAGTTGCTCACTAAGATAGAAAATCAAATAATTAATATCTTTGCATCCATGATTGTGATTATAAATATGTGAATATAAACACATTCTTCTTTTGACATCATACAATTAAGGTTGTTAGCGACGGTGATAACGAATCAGATGGCGGATTACAATATCAAAGGAATATCCCAAGTCGGACGTCAGCAACTACTTCTATCAGCAAAGGCAAGCATCGAAATTCGATTTCTTCACTACCCAATTCATTACAAAATATTCAGGTAGGTCTTGCAGTAACTGTAATTTCAATATTTATTTTGACGATATTAAATTGTGTTATGCAAAACTTAATTTAATATGCCTACTACGAATTGGTTCTGCTTAGGATACTGGCCAGCTGTACTTGCTAGCTGATTGTCAGCCAATATTTGAAGAAATGGAGAGTCATCAGGTATTTCGTATATTACTAACACTAGCGAGCGTGTGCTATTGAAATTTTGTAGCAATATAACGTCTAATAAATGCTTTTTTATTTCGTATTTCTTTTCGCTAAACAATATAGACTTCTCTTCAAGTTATTCAAAATGGAACTGCCGCTAGTTCTTTTGCCGATGAAGTTACTAAATGGCAAAAATGTTTACAAACTATTGAAGCTGTGTTACGAGTATGGTTAGATGTGCAAGATAAATGGATAGAATTAGAAGAGGTTAAGTAACTGTAATATACCACAATTAATTGTACTCAATCATAGTTCCCTTACTGATATGTTGATAGACTTATCTATAATTGCTAAGGCAATCTTTTGGATGTTTAATAGATTTTTACAAACTCTGATGTTAAGTTCTCATTGGCGCATGACTGCAGTTTGTTCTTGGCAGTTAATCGAGATTTCAGATTGTTGATGAGAGCAACGGAGAAAAATCCAAATGTTTTACAATCATGTTCTAGAAAAGGTAATTGCCTTACGATTCGTATAACTTGTGTATATTTAAATTTCTCTGTTTTGTTAAGATTAAATCTGAAAATAAAATTAACAGGAATACTGGTAACTCTTGAGAAAATGAATAAAGTTTTGGAGCAAAATCGCAGATCACTAATGCAGTTTATCATCAAAAGAAGAAGCAAATATCCTCGATTTTATTTCTTATCCGCTGAAGATGTGACACATATAATTTGTAGCGGTAAAGGAAGGATTTTTGTAGTGTATTTATAAATAGTAGCTAATGGAAATTTGCATCATTTTAAATTGGGTGCTTTTTAAAGTACCATTATACATTTTCACCCCTTTGGTGTTTATCTTCTTAGGAAATAATGCCAAAAGAATCAATGAATATTTGTACAAACTATTTCCTAATATCGATTGCTTGGTGTTCGAGGAAGCAGTTAGTGAAGGACAGTTTTATTCAGTTATTACTTCTATTATTAGCAGTATGGGTGAACGTCTAGCATTAGATGAGGTATGCTCTTCGAAATATTGACTTTTAATTGATTTTGTAGTTAAAAAGTTTGCCGGATCATATTTTTTGTAAGATAAAACTTAGAAAAAAATTTAATTTTTAGCCAACAGTATGTACTGGATCAGCGGAAACTTGGTTGCAATTATTAACCGACTTGATAACAAAAACACTAAAAATTCAGCTACAAAACGCTTTGCAAGTTTCTACGGAAAGACCTTCCATAGGTACTGACCGCGAGCAATTCAATCAAAATGACAATGTAGATAATAGCAACATTCCTAAATCATGGACCATTGAACAAATTTCAGAAATTGCACTATTAGCAACACAGGTAACACCTTAATTTTAAACTTCATTGTAAAGAGAATTTGCTTAATTTCAAAGTTGTAAAATGCCTCGTTCTTTGATACGAAAATATATCAAAGAACAAGGCATTTACAACCGTATATAATTAGCATGTTTCATAAATTGTTAATTACACCGGCTACAGAGATAAAATGTATGCGGACATTATTATAGGAAGACAAAATATTAACAATTCCTTAATTTTGCACTACTTTAATAATTATACTGTCATATGATTTTAGGTCGAATTGACGGCTATGATCGAGCAAAGTCTTCATGATATTGGTCAAAATAATCCTAATGCTTTGCAAGAAAGCTTAGAGGCTATAACAGCTAGCATTAATGCAGCAATTAAAATGCTTCATGGGTCAGAAAATGACCCATTTGAAATGGATGAAGCTGTCAAATCGGCAAGATTTACGCGGCGGTTGTATCGGCCACCACCTGACGATGGCGTTCATGATGCTCAAACATTCAATAATATGCAGTATAACTACAGAAGAGCATCGCAAACAATGTCTTATATGTCTCATCCTACCAGAGGTAAGCTGCAATGTACAATCGCTATTCGTGAATATCTTTTATATATTTTAAAAGTAGATACCGTAATTAAAGCCTTTACTCAATGTCTAATATTATGATCCATATGTCTATTCCTATAACTGCTATTGATAATCATAACAATATATGATCTTTCCATACAAATTTCTAGTGCATTCAACTGATTATGGCCTTAGTATTGATGAAAATCTTGACGACGGTAAAATATTGTTATTACCAAGTCAAATTCAAAAAATTAGTAATCTGATCTTAATACTATGCTATCAGCGAGATGTCGTGCAGAATTTAATAACTGCAGTTAATAAGATGGAAAGAAAACATAAGGCTATGAACTTGTTTGAATGGTTAATGCAAATGAAATACTACTGGTTTGATCAAGATCAAGAATGTGTGATTAAATCACTGGATGCAAAATTTGAGTACGGTTTTGAATATCAGGGGAGTTATACTCGCTGTGTTGTTAGTCCATTGACAGAACGTTGTTTCGTATGCTTAAATCAAGCCATTCACTATCACCTTGGTGGACTTTGTCTAGGTCCTGCTGGTTGTGGTAAAAAGGAGACAATTAGCCAATTAACTATTATGCTTGGTAAACCATTTTATAACTTCAATTGCACCTATGCAATTAATCATAACTTGATGGTAGATATATTTAAAGGCATGGCAGGTACTGGTGCTTGGATATGTCTAAATAATATCGATAATTTAGATGTACACATTCTATCCTTAGCATCTCAGCTTTTGTCAGCTATTTTTTATGCTTTGAAAACAAGAGAAGAATTTATCACGATTGAGAACGAGACAATCCACTTAGTTCCAACAGCAGCTTGCTTATCAATTTTAGTCGATAATCCTAAGGCTAACTATAATAAATTGTCTTTACGCACTGGCTACTTCCCCAGCTCAACATCGTCAACAGCGGCGCTACCTAAGTGCTTATTGGACCTCTTTAGGCCTGTAACTTTGGTTAATCCGGATATTAAACAAATTACGGAAGTTTTATTGACTACGCATGGTTTCAATTATGCACCGCAGTTAACAAAGCAGTTGTTAGCTTTCAAAAACTTGACTGAGGATTTCCTTCATATGCCTGCAATGATTAAAGATACCGCTACATATGAAATTTCGAAACCTTTGTGCACTTGGAACCTCTATACAATTAAGTCAATTATAGCTGACGCAGGAATTCAATTGGATAATATATTATCATCATTATTACAAACAAAACAAAGCGAAGCTATATCAATTAGTAGTAAGTATTGTAACTAGCACTATTTCAGCTATCAGCACCAGGAAACTAAAAAGGCGTTAATTTATATTTAATAAATTTATATACCTTCGAGGCTAGTTGCAAGAGCTACATTAATAAAACTAAGCCATACTTTGAGTAGACTTACTGATAATATAATCTATATTTTTCATAATCGTAGGTCGAGTAAGTGATGAAATTGAAAGCGCAAAGTCTATTAATTTAATTGGTACGATGACAGAAGATGAACAGCGAAAAGCTGAAGAGGAAGCACTTGTAATTGCCATTAGAAATAACTTTGTGCCCCGTTTAGTAGAGAAAGATGGTAGCCTGTTCGCGATGATACTTACAGATATCTTTCCTGCAGTAGATGTTCCAATCATTGTCGATAGTAAAGTACCAACAACAACACGAAATTTATCAACAGTTCTTTCAACTCGCAGTCGTAGCATGCCTCTTGTGGTACAAGCTGAAGATCTCCATGATAATGTCATCAGAACTACTAATCAATCTTTAATTTTAGACGAAATTTCGGAAGCTATAGCAGTTTCTCTTTCTAAAAAATACCTTCAACCCGGTCCTATTTTCACTTCACGTGTATTACAATTAGCCCAGTTAGTTTCAATTCATCGATATATCTTATTGGTTGGGCCATCTGGTTGTGGTAAATCGAAAAGTATCCAAACATTATCAGGTGCCTATTCTGAAATGGGTAGAACAGTTAATTTACAACCCATCAATGTACGCTCAATAGCAAGGACGGCTTTTTTCGGACAATTCGATAGTATTACTGAAGCATGGAAAGATGGCGTGTTTCCATTAGTACTTCGTAAACATATGCATTCAACTGATCCTAATAGATCGTTGCAATCAAAGAAAGCGCCCATGCAGTGGTTGCAAATGGATGGTGAAGTAGATACAGTTGAAATAGAAAATTTGACATCGGTCTTTTCAAGTGATGCAACTCTTGTCCTAGCAAACAATGAAAGAGTTAAAATGCCAGATTCGATGCGTGTATTTTGGGAAATGGAACATCTACTGCATTTAAGTCCGGCTACAATGGCTTCAGTAGGTGTTTTATGTATGTCAGAAGATGATGTTACTTGGGAACTACTTATTGAAAACTGGCTATTGCAACGACCAGCAGCTATTCGTGGTTTACTTGAACAACTTTGTAACAAGTACATTAAATCAACGTTAAATTACATTAAAACTGGTTTCGATGAAGCTGAAAGCTTACCACAAGTACCATTAAAATATGTTGTGCCTATGAAGGATGCTAACATGATTGACACATTATGCTCATTAATGGAAATATTAACTGGTGATTCAGTTGATTTGAATGCAATTGCATATGAACATTATTTCAACTTTTCGTGTATCTGGGCCTTTGGTGGAACATTAATTGAAATTCATCGAGAATGCTTTAATCGATTTTGGAGAAATAAGTGGGATATTAAATTGCCACCTGAAGGTGAAGTGTGGGACTATTATGTGAGTAATGATACTGATGCATTCGAATTCTTAAGTTGGTACGAAACAGTTCCACAGTACGTCAAGCCTGTCAATAGAGGAATTCCATCAGACGCTTTCGTACCCACTGTTGATACCGAACGATTAAATTTCTTAATAGCAACATTATGCGATGCCGGTAAATCGGTTCTTTTAGTTGGTGAAGCAGGTTGTGGTAAAACTGCCTTAGTGAAGGAAAGATTAAGATCAGATAGCGGTAATATGGCTGAAGTATTAACCTTAACTGTACACTGTAATAAGTTTACGACATCTGAGGTCTTATGGAAGCAATTAGACAGTTGTCTCGAATGGAAATCGGGTAAAATATACGTACCTAAAAGAAATAAGAGTCTGCTATGCTTAGTTGATGATCTTAATACGTCGAAAACTGATAATATTAGAAGTCAATCTGCCTGTGAACTATTACGGCAACATATTGATTATGGTGGTATTTGTGACCCTGTAACACTCGACTGGCGCATAATTAATAATGTTACCTATATTGTGACTTATAATCCCGATGCTATAAGCACTAAACCAAAGCTAACACCGCGACTATTGCGCCATTTTGCTACTATCTATTATCCGCATCCAAAATCAGAAGAATTGCACACGATTTATTCTGGTTTACTTTATGCTCACTTTTTAAGTAATCTGCAAAACTCAACACAACAGTCTTACGCTATCAATGACAGCCAATTAAATAGGCAACAAGAAACTGACCAAATTTTACGTTCGATATTATCATCTATCGTTAATGTTACAATAGAAGTACAGAATAAAATGCGAACAATGTTTCTACGAACTTCAAGCCGTTGTCATTATTTATTTACTATGAGAGATCTAACTTTAATCTTCAGAAATTTATGCCTTTCGTTAGGCCCCGGCTGTCCGTCTCGTGACTTACTGCTATTGTGGAAACATGAATGTTATTGGATTTATGCTCATCGATTAGTTTCTGAGGTAGACGAAGAAAGATACAACCAAGCTTTTATTACAGCAGCACGTAAAGAGTTCTCTAAGGAAGATCAACTTAATCTTGCCTTATCTCCAATTCCTGTATTTACTAACTTAGTGGAGCGTGATGATGTATCCATAGTAACAGTAGCTACTCGATTATCGTCTGATCAAAGTGGTGGCAGCAATAGCGGTAATAATAATGAGGAAAGTAATTGGGGCGATTTCTATCATCCATGTAATGATATCCCTGGTATTAGAGCATTACTCCGGCATGGCTTAGATGAATACAACAAAAACAACCCAAGAATTGATCTTACATTTTATGATGGTGTTGTTACCCAGGTTTGTCGCTTAGTTAGAATCTTACAGTCACCACACGAATGTGGCCATGCTCTCATGGTTGGGGCAGGATGTTCAGGTATTGCATCACTTGTAGCACGACTTGCAGCATATTTGTGCACATTTATAGTTTATCAAATCAATCCATCTTGCATGTTAATGGGCGGAAAATACGATGTAGCTACCTTCAAGGATGATTTGGTAGAAGCTTATACAAATGCAGGCGTAAAAGGAGAGAAAATTATGCTATTATTAATGGAATCAGAGTTATTAAGCAATGATTTCTTAGTCTATATTAGTGAATATCTAGTCTCTGGTTCTATTACTCATTTATTTACAATAGAACAATATACTAGCATTATTAATGCAATTCGTACCGAAGTTACCCAGGCTGGATTGCATTATTCGCCTGATGTTGCTTGGCAATTTTTTCTGCAAAAAATTCGACGTAATTTACATGTTGTCATCATTATTCCATCGATTGGTTCTCGTTTAAGGACAATATGTAATGAATTCCCTTCCTTAATCAATAATATTGCATTTATGTGGTATGGGCATTGGTCACGTGAGAAGTTAGTATGCAATGCGATGCATCATTTAAAAAATATTAAACAGTTGACTACCAAAGATCAAGAAAATTTAGCTCACCTAATGGCATCGATGCATCTATCAATTCGTCATCATGATGATAGTGTTTATGATGGCGGTACATATGGTCATATTACAAATTATACTTTCGAAAAGTTTGTTGAACGATTCTGTGACATGACCGCTAAACGATTCTCTGATATTTCGAAGGAAAAGTCTAAAATTGAGGCTGCATTAGATAAGATTACTACGGTATCGAAATTGGCTGCTGAGCTGAAATTGCAACTTGATCATGAACTGGTGGTTCTGGAAGAAAGGAAAGATGGCGCTAGTAAACTTTTATTTCAGATTGGTCAAGATACCGCTATATCTGAAGAACAAGCTAAATTAGTACAAAAGCAACACAATAAAATCCAGCAATTGAAAAAGAATTTACCCGAATATCAGGTAGCATTTGAGAAAGCTGAGTTTAAAGCCAGGGCTATTGTGACTGAAACAAAAAAACTACTTAACGACGTTGATACAACGAGTTTAAGTGAGTTAAGAGCACTACAAAAACCTGAACCAGAAGTAGAGGATTTATTGGCAGCCGTAATAATGATTGTCAAAACTCCAGCATCAGACTTGACGTGGAGTAAAGGTGCTAAGCGATTAATGGCTAATCTTGATCGATTTTTAGGTGAGTTGTCCACGTTTAATGAAAGTGAATTACCAGAGAGTACTCTTGCCTTATTGGAACCATACTTAAGAAAACCTTACTTTACGCCCGATCATTATGATAAAATTGGGTTGCCCGCGGCAAGTTCTTTGTGCATGTGGGTTCGTAGTGTTGTGCGCTATCATCGTATGATGCATCATAAAGTTTTACCATTAGAATTGAAAGTGAAAAATACCGCTGCAGCTGTTAATTTAGCAACTGATCGCCTTAATAGCATGGAATCAAAAGTAGCTGTATTTACTGAGAGATTAGCTGGCCTTGGAAAAGGTTTTGAGGAAGCTTCCATAGATAAAATTGAACAATTACAGTATACAACTAGTTTAAGTAAGCAGTTGGAAAAAGCGGAATACTTCCTATCTGTCTTGCATGAACAAAAGATAAATTGGGAACAAGACTTAAGTATTATTAAAGCATGTCAAGAAAATATTGTAGGTGGCATTATTACGGCTACTGCTTCTGCCTGTTATCTTGGACCTTTAGATCCATTATTCCGGCAAGATATGTTAATGGTTCACTGGCCACAATGTTTAAAAGAACGAGGTATACCTTTAGTTATTGACGGAATTGAGTACCATGAAGGTTATATAGTAAGATGGGCTATTGACAAACTAAACTTACAAAATGAGCTCCTTCCAACAATAGATCGTTCAAAATCATACCAAGAATCAAAGAATTTTATTGAGATATCGTCTGATACTGATGATAATGTGAATAGCGTAACTATACCCCATGATTTACAAATCGATCCAAAAAATTTACCAGATAGAACAAGTTATACTGAATTTTGTCGATTTCTTGCGTCTTTGCTTGTTGGTGATGAGAAACTTCGTAAATGGCTCACGAAAGGTTTTGGTATGAATAAATTGGCTCTTGGTGCTATTATGGCATCGTCTTGGCAACGAACCCCGCTCTTTATCGATCCACATGGGCAAGCGGAAACTATAATTCGGGATTTGGAGAGCCCAAACGATTTAGTTGTGGTCGATATGGGACTAGCGTAAGTTATCCTTAGTATCGCGTTGAAAGCGTAGATTTGAAATAATTATTAAATATAAACGTAGCTTACATATTTAAACATAAGCCGTAATATATTTTGCTATATTTGCGATATATTTTAGCAATCTTATGTCTCTTCATCACATCGAGAAAGCAATAATTGCTGGGAAATCCGTTTTGTGTACTAATATTGGAGAAACAATCGATTCAATGCTAATGCCATTAATCAATCACCATAGAAATATTGTTACCGATCAATCTGGTAAACTAATTTAATTCGTTTAATACTAATTATAAGTAAGGATTATAGAATTATGCAGTTAAGAGTAATGAAGTAAATTGAGTGTTATTAACCAATAGAGTGGAAACAGTGATATAGCAGAGGAATCAACATACGAATATGTTTACAAAGTTATAATTTATTGGTTGATTAAAATCATGTATGTGATTCATTTTCTATTTATTGATAGGTCAAAGAGTGGTCAAATTCAACAATCGCTACATCTTATGTCATAAAATGTTCAGATTATACTTATCAACCAGCCTAGCCAAGCCTAATTTTAGCACTGAAGTTGCCTCTTTAGTGACTTTGATAAATTATACAACGTCAAGAGAAGGCCTCGAAGAAATACTCATACAAAGAATATTTGAACATATTCAGCCGACCCTTAACAAAGAATGGCGTTTAACATTAAGTGTTGGTGAACAATTAATCGAATTTTTGCACAATCTCAATGAAAAATTGTTTGCGAGATTGATTAACAAGGAAGGCGTACATATATGGGATGAGATAAGCTATATAGCTGATGCTGTTGTTTGTAAGCGAAAAGTTACCCATAATCTTTATAATGCAATGCAACTATCACTTCAAATACGAAGTATTCGAGAAGACATGCATACTTTAGCATCTCAATCGGCATCTATTTTAACTATCATTGATTTATTATCGCATTTACATCATGAGTACCGTTATTCACTGCCTCAGTTGTTAGAGGTATTCGATATTGCATTACCACAACATGAAATTGATGAAAAAGTTATTGTTACAGTTAGTAGTTCGGCGCAAGAATCATCAACTGAAGGTGAAGACAACATAAAAACTTATAAATACTTCAAATTACCTAATATACCAACATTGCCAACACCTGGAGTAAAATACGAGCGATTGGAGAGTAGCTTGATGCGTGAATTTAAAACTTATCTTTCGCAATCTGTTTTTGATAATATTAGTCGCGGTATTTACGAGAATCACCGAATTATACTAGCAACAATGTTGTGTCTGCAATTAGAAAGTGATTATACAGACATAATTAATTCTGAACATATGCAATTCCTATTATATGGTGCAGTGTTGAAGGATAAACCCGTTACTGAAAAGCGCAAGCCTGATTGGTTACCTGATATCAAGTGGGCATCACTTATTGCTTTCTCAGAGTTATCTCCTCAAGCTCGCGATATATTTGAAGATTTCAACGAACATCATGAGTTGTGGTGTAAGTGGTACGAAAGTAGTAATCCAGAAATTATGCCCATTGGTAGTGACAAAATAAGGAATTGTAGAACAGATAAAACGATATCTTCAGAACAGGATTTTATGCGTATACTTTTACTCAGGTGTTTACGTGAAGATCGAGTTGTTAATGGTTTTGCCAGTTATCTACGTGAACATATTAATATTAAACCAACTTTAAATAATGTTCCACCACTTCATGAAATAATTGGAGAATTAAATCCTTATCAGCCAGTTTTAATTCTGATGCCAGCTGTCGATGATATCACACATATGTTTAAGTCTTCAGTGACGATGGCATCAGATTCCGTTGTAAAGCGAATAAAGATGACTAGCAAGGTTGGAAAAGGAATATACCCGTATATAATTTTTCATCATAAGTATAACTAATCATAATATCACTAAATAGACGATTCATATTAATTGATTATATACAAATACAATTTACTTTAACAAATATTAGTACCTGGGAATTCCATGTAGCGTCATGCCATTAAACGAAGAACATGAAGACGAAATTGCAAAATTGATATATCGTGAGCAAAATTGGCTCATTATTGAAGATATTCATATGGCAAAAACTAGCTGGTTGCGAAATTTAACAAAGATTCTCGCTAAGAGGCAGAATGCAAAAGGTAGGTTAAAAACATCCAATTTTTTATAAAGAATAACGCGCGATAATTACTATTTAAAATGAAAATAAAAGTACCGCCAAAGAATAGTTGGGAGTACAGTTTTAATGAATTTTAGTATAATTGATCCAAGTTATGTTATCGTCAACAATATTTATCACATTTTTTTTACAGATGGCAATTTTAGACTCTTTATGACTACTCAACCAAGTCAATCGCTTCCTATTTCCTTGCTTCGCTCTTGTTATAAATTGGCATGGGATGTTGTTATCACAGATGAGAAACAAAATGATGATAACATAAATTACGAGTTGATTGACGAAGATCTCAGAGATTCTATTATAGCTTCACTTAAATCTGTAGTAACTATGAAAAGCGTAGCAAATAAACAACATCCACAAGTCATGTATAGACTGATTTATGGAATGTGCCTTATACATAGTTTGCTGATATCGAGACAATTATTTGGCACAAGAGCTATGAATTATTGGTATCCTTTTACTAAAGTCCACTTACGAATGGCGATTGAACTAGCTCTTCTGGAAGCCAATGATATCGAAAGTTCGCTAGATGAAATAGCCAGACTGATAAAAGAAGCTGTTTATGGAGAATACATTTGCGATTTGACAGATCGTCGATATCTGCGAACGCTAATCTATAAGATATTGCCTGCTACAGTAACTCAAGATAACTATGTTGTTCTTGGACGCGTTCAGTTTCAGCTACCACCTCATAACATGCATATTAATGAGTACCTAAATTGGTTTAAGAAAGAAGGTAACGTTGGTGGCACAACTCATGCGTTATCACTTGATAAGTTTGTCTTGGAAGAATACGATAAAGCCAGGTAGTTATTTGACATTAATGCATAAAAGAGCAAATTTAGAAATGTATTCGTAATGCAGTGTTTTAATTTATCATTTTTTTGCAGGCAACTTACCTTTATTGATGAATTGGACAAAATATACAAACAATTTGCTTTATCACAAAATACGATATGGAAAAAAGAAATAAATCTATTTGGAGAAGACATTGACCTAGAACACATCCAACAAGCAATCGATTTAGCTAATGAACAGTTGCCGACATTATTACCAATAGATAATACCACCAATACCAGACCATCATCGAGGTATTCTGATTCTATGCGAAGTAGCTCGAATGTTGTATCTAGGGCGACATCCGCTAGATCATCTCGAAATGGAAATGCTGTATCAGTATTCGATACCGTTGATTATGCACTGCACCAGGTACATTCTATAAAATTGTTTTACTACATAGCGTTGTTTCTAAAGTATTACTTATGACAGCTATCATTATTTAAATTTTGACAACCATTGTTTTTCCTGGTCAATTTAGGAATGTATTGAATTTAACGCCCTACTACGTGATGTTAAACGTTCATTAAATATTATTGAGAAGCAATTGGTTGGCGGCAAATTTTCGATTCCCGATAGTTCTATTAAAGTTATCAACTCCTTGCAAAATGGTTCAGTCCCAGATTTATGGATTCACTCAAACTATATTCCTACCACTCACACTTTGCGATCTTGGCTTACAGGTATTAAAAAGAAATGTGAATGTTATGCTTAGTAATGAAATATTTATATTATCCACTATTGTGTAATAATAATAGCAATTCTTGCCGTTGCATACAGATCTTACAGCAAGGCACAAACAGTTGCTTAAATTGATCAATGAGGGCATCATTCAAAAATCCAGACAAGACGTAGCTGTTTATGCAGCTGAACGCTTACGTTCAATTTGGATCGGCGGTTTATTTAACCCCAAAGCTCTTACTACGGCATTGATGCATGAAAAAGCCATACAGGAAAATCTTTTATTTGACGACGTAAGACAATCTGAAATATACGTTGCGGAAAATCTCAATATTACAGCATGAATATACATCAGTGTATATTATGACGACTATGGCTCACGTTTTATTTTATTTTTAATAGATCACCATTGTATGTGAGGTTCATAATTCGAATAATCTTCCTGCGCCTGAGTTGATACCAGAAGGTGGATTATTCTTAACTAATTTATGGCTTGAGGGAGCTCGGTGGAACTTCGAAACTGGATTATTAGATGATGCAGTGTAAGTACGCGTATAAATCCATAAACTAAACTATTATTCAAAGTGCCAATATAGAGGTATGCATCATTAGTAAACAACGATTATTTTATACCATTTAATAGGAGTCCGTTATTTAAAATGCCTCCTATTTGGATCACGCTTGAACGCAAGAGTGACAAAAGTAATCAGGATGAATCGACGGATATGTTATACGAATGCCCAGTGTATATTAATCAGGTCAGTTAGGGGACATAATAATGTAACTAGGACATTTCCATAGCAGGTAGTAATTATTCTTTTACTTATTACTTGTTGCAGGCTCATTCGAGCTATCTGTGGAGCCTTCCATTACGATGTACCGCACCATCATCACAGTGGATTTTAGCTGGAGTATCGATGATATTGGATTCGGGTTATTTTAAGTATATAATGCATAAAGCAGCACGAGAAAATAGACAATAACTGGAATCCGATCCAACTCTATAATGTCATACATTAATTGATGATACGTATGTGCACGATCAAATTTTTACTTTCACTTAAAAAAATATTTTAAGCCCTCGTACCGTGCGTGTTACGCTAAAATTTATCCTAATTTATATCTGTATTTTTAAATCCACCCTCGTTGAATTTACGTTGAAGACGAAATTATATTGTAATAAAAATAAAAATAATTATGAATACTACATATTCTACGCGTATGTGCAAAATGAAATTATTCTTAATGCTGTAAAGTTTCTAACAAATTGACTTTTCTACAACATTGCTTATTTTTGAACTATTTTTGTCTTTTGATAAAAATCATGACTGGACCGACATGTTGGAAGACTATCTTCGTTGGGTAAATGTTCTTTATTTGCTAATTGATTTTAATGTCTATAATATTGTATTCGATATGACTCTATACAATGTACTTTATGATCCTATATACGATAGCATTTTTTGTATTATATCATCTGCTGCTGCTTGAATTATGTAATATTTTTAGATGATATACGTGTATAATAAATAAGATTGATAGCTATCCGTTCATCGTTGCTTAATGCTCATTCAAGCTTATGCGTTTAATTTTGAAGAAATGCAATTGTCGAAACTGATGACAGTACATTCATCGTTGCTTAATGCTCATTCAAGCTTATTGCGTTTAATTTTGAAGAAATGCAATTGTCGAAACTGATGGCAGTACATTCATCGTTGCTTAATGCTCATTCAAGCTTATTGCGTTTAATTTTGAAGAAATGCAATTGTCGAAACTGATGGCAGTACATTCATCGTTGCTTAATGCTCATTCAAGCTTATTGCGTTTAATTTTGAAGAAATGCAATTGTCGAAACTGATGACAGTACACAACATCTGTGTAAAACAGATATCAGAACAGAAGGCCTTTCATTCAGTGTAGCGTAAAGACTTTTGCGACATCTATTTTACACATTTTGTAGAGCAATAACCACCGTATGATATGGCGACAACTCCGCTATTACAGTAGTAGAAGTGTCTAAGCTTAGACCTGACAGTGTAGGTATGGCCGTTCTGCCGATACGCTACAGTGCATTACGGTACAGTACGGTACTGGAAATGTACTGTACTTGCAGCATACTATAAGCGCATAGCTACCGGTACACATAATCAGCGTTGATAACACACTATGTGGTACGCTACCATTTCAAATGATAGTCAAGAATCGTCCAGTACTGTACAGTACTGTGTACAATGTACTGTGGATATTACGCATGAGCTGCTCCATCGTTGACCAACGACTAACCGGAACATCGTGGCGGAACTTGCAGGTTGGTGAGCAAAGACGATGTGCAATAATATTAAGGGATATTAATCCAGTCATTCAGTACAGTAGTGCTATTGAGGATAGAGAAGTAATCTGGAATCTTTGCTGTATCTATGTGTAGTAGATTGAGTTGTACTTGGAATTTGTATCGCTTACGTGTTCAATCTTGAATTAGCTCGTTGCATGTACAATGGCATCCAAAGAGATTATACTATTTGCTAAACGATTGGCTTCCAACGAGAAGAAGATTCGCGATCGATCTGTTAGAAGGTTAAGGTTATGGCTACAGAAAAGATCCAAAGAGATAGGTAACCTCGATACTACATTTAAAATTGATTTATTCCATAGGTCAATGGGATATCAGTGATGAGTAGGACGGTTGGTTTGCACGATGGCATGACAGTATACGTAACCGTGCACGAGACAGTCTACTTGCGATTGCTGGTCGAACATCGTAGCACGGACTAATAGAGTTAATAAAGTAGAAAGAATATCTGCATGATATGGATTAAATGTATGGTTACTATGGTACAGTTGAATCGTGATGTACTGCAGTCTGTATTAAATGACCTTATTGGATACCTTATTATCGCTCTACATGACTCATATCTATCGACACGATGGTGTAGTTTACCAAGCCGTTGTCCTGAACCGAGCACAACCATTCAGTATGGACATGATTTCACTTTACTTTGGAGGTGGATGTACTTGACGTACTCTATCCCTTTATTCGACGTGTATATCAATCAATAGATGTATAACGAGTGAGAAGCAATGTTGGATAACATTAGACCTGAAACAAAACCCAAATCGATGAAACTATGTACTCTATACTTGTATCGTGATCTTTCATCATCAATTTAATTATATTATTGGATTAATACAGCTTATAGAGTATTATGTAAACATAAAATCAATGAATGTCTACAGATTTCGACGAAATTGAAATACTGAAATTATGGCGAGGACTCTTCTATTGCATGTGGATGTCGGACAAACCATTAATTCAAGTCAGTAGATACAGAGCGGATTATAAGATGTATATCAGATGAACTGACTTAAAATAATAAAGGCCTAGATGCACAAGCAAATGAACTTCTAGCCTACTAACAATATAAATAATTGAATAATTGCTTGTTAATTGCCATTTCTATCCACAAACTATTTATCTTATACAATAAATAGGAAGAATTAGCTGATATGTTGGCTTCCTTACTCTTTTGCTTTGAAGACGTGAAGAAATGTAAGAAGTGCTTTAAAGTTGAAACTTTATAATAGCATTTACCTTCTTTAGTTATAGACAAGGAAATTGAAAAAGTACAACAATATCAATGATGTTATGAGAAATGATTGTCAAACATTTCTTGTTGATCTTAGTAAGATTGTAAGCATTTATATATTCTCTTCGTAGGGTCATTATTCTTAAGCTCATTTTATAATACCATGTGCAGAGAATGGATTGGAATTGATAGATTAAGGATGGATAAATTTTACATGGTTAGATTTCATTGCTGTAATGGATTGACGTAACTCTATTTCAGCTAATATGAATCCTTTAACTCCATGCTATCAGCTTAATTCTTTGAAATCAAGACTGTTCATTATTTGAATAACTATGACTTATACAATCATTAATGTATCTCATATAGTTAATGAAAAAGATGATGAAACAATCTCTAGTCGGGCTCCTAACGAAAGATTGGGATGATAGGTAAATAATATAGATTGGAATATTTAAGAGTATACACTTATATATAAAATTATTCTTTTCATTACTAGTACCAACAGGATGCTATTGTAATGATATAATAATTTTAATGTAAAAATACTATTTTATTATGCAGTTGGGTTAAAGCTTTAATAACTGTACTATCCGATGGACCTATTCATCCTACTGAGTTTAAGGTAAAAGCGTAGATACTGCCCTAGTTGCAATACTCTCCAATGTAAAATATGCAAGTTAAAAACTGTCGTCAATACTTAGTCAGTTATAAATTAAAGTGTGTGATTTAGAAATAGCTATAGTAAATTAAAAAGTTTGCACGTTCGATACAAATTTTATCGTGCATAGAGAAAATTTATTACTTATATATTATCCGCTTTTACTATTTAATATTGATTGAAATATTGAAAAACAGTCGTACTTAAAAATATATATTTTCTTAATGTGAAGGTTTTAGATGGAATTCGCTTATATATAACGGAAATTTTCCTTGATGAATTGCTCTCACTTGATCTATCAAAGGTATATTGACGTTGTAGTAAATATACTTGGATTAGATTTAGTTATTAAATATTTCGGTATGTTAATCTTTTATAAACGTAGCCGTAACTAAATATCACATTTTCTATCATAAATTTATCTGTTATCTATCAATTTACAGATTTCTTGCGACCAAGTGGTAGATCTACTGAAACCTTTTGTGACGCTCTCTGCTGAAGCTTGCAAGTAAGCCATTTATGCCTGCAGTTTATATTATTTCTGTTTTCTGTAACAATTTGTGATCCATGATGTGTCTTAATGGTGCTGTTTACTTACATCTAGTCACAGTATATTGAACACTATCGATGAAAATATTTATCAACGTTTGCTAGAGGAAGACATCAAAAGCAAGCTATCAAATTATCAGGTCAGCTAAATTGTTTAATGTATTATATGTTTATATTGCTGTCGCTGATCACGACTAATTAGCTAAAAATATAAGATGTTTATGGGAGCTTTTTTATTTTTTGAATTGATTTGGTAGGATTTATACTCAACCCTAGAAAAAATTCTATTCGAATCAGGAAGTAAAAAAGAAGTTAAACCTCGAAACAGAAAAATCTTATATAATGGAAGTAAAAGGTACAAGATTTAAGCGAAATTTTAGAAATCAAAGTTGTTTAAACTGCGAGTATCATGTGCTAAGTTATCATATATTACTTGTAGGTTTAGGGAAGCTAAAGCTGGTAAGGGCATATTGTACAATTCCTACATTTGACCACTGTTACAGTTTTGATTAATTCTTATTCATGTAGCGTCAATAGCTCATGATAATCCTTCAAATGTAAGTTCCGACTTTTTTAGATAGAATAGAAGATACGTTCATTAATGCTATTGCTACATTACTTACTGATAATGATTCTACTGCATATTAGGCAACTGAACAAATTCTCGAGGAATCGTCGAGTGAAGATATCAAAACAGAAAATAACTTAAATTTTTCTAAGGAAATCATTGAACCTACGCAGGGTAGAATTATCATTTGCATTTTATAATTCTATTTGTCGGTATAACGATATATACGGTAATATAATTTATTGCAATTTAATACAATATATACTCTTTTACATTGCATAAAGTAAACGAAACTGATGATACTGCCGGTAATGTATCCAATACTAAGAGAAAAAAGAAGGAGGAGGCGCCTACTACTGGTGCGAAGAAAAAGAAAGTAAAGAAAACTGAAGGTGTGTATTACGTAATTTCTTGAGGTACTAGTGATCCTGTAATAATTGCTATAAATCTAAATTAAGCCTCTCATTGTAATGAAGTACGCGTAGGTAGTGATACTGATAAACAAATCAAGCCAGAAGTATTACACCAGCAGGACGACGAAGTTAAAGATGGTAGTTACATATTGATATTGTAAATACTTGGGAATGGTTACTGACGACATTGCACTGTATCTCTAATATTTGCAGTTAAAATGACAAAAAGACCTAGAAAAGTTAAAACAGACTCTAATCCTCTCATTGCGAAAGGTATTGATTGACACTAGCATTGCTTCGATTTGCACAAAATACCTGCAATACATTCTATTTAAGGCCTGTAATTTGCTGATCAATTAACGCTGAGCTACTTTTACATAGCGAAATCACTGATTAAATTCAAACCAAAGAAATCTCCAGCTGGAACTGCACTTAAACTATCGTCAGGCAAAAAGAAAGAACTAGAGAAAAAAGGCAATGCACAAAAGAAGGTATAATTTGCCTATTTCAAATGAGCTACTCTTACAACGATATTGATAATTGATTGATTTAATTTCATGATATGTGCTACGAATAGAATACAAGGTATCATTTATCTGTTTTGAAATGAGTTACTTTGCAACGGTATTAAAGATGATTTAAATCCATAATTCGTAATGCTAACAGAAAAGCCGAACGCCGTCACCCTCTTCAGGAAAGAAAGTCAGAATTATGTTAAAAAAAAATAAAACACAAGGTATGTGAAAGTTTGACCCATGCTTCTACGGTAAAATGTTATAAATACTAGTTTTACCATTACAAGTACAGTATATTAAATCACATTTCTTTCCGTTAAACAGAATTTCACAAAGATGAACCGGCCATTAACGTATCACCATTTCGAACGTTCAATATGCAAACCAGATCAAAAGCAGAAAATTTTTTTTAGAAATCCGTATTTTATATTTGTTTGCATATTTTTGTACATAATCAATTTCGATATTGCTATTCTGACGCAATTTAAAATAAAGTTTTGAACAATCTTCAAATTGATAATGCGTTCATAGAATGTAAGTACTTAATAATCGCGAATACTATGTGTGCGTATATAATGTTTGGTTACAACGTTAAATAATTAATTATCGTAGCTATCAAGCATTGCTCTGAATCGAACACACGTACAGTACTTTCAAAACCTCAAATTGGTCATTATGAACTTTTCAAAGACATTTACCACATTTCCTGGTAAAAACTATCGTGCTAGTCGTTTCTACATTTTCCAATAAATCATATCATTAATTAATTACAGCGTAGGATAAAAAATGATCATTGAGATAATTTTACCCTTACAGGACGCGACTGTAACAAATTGCAAAAGTGAACATCATCTTTATCTTACAGAGTTCATGAGCATTAAAATATTTAGTTAAAAAAGGTTCATTCTTAACGGTGGGAATTGATAAAAATCATTTATCATCACGATAGCATACCCTAAACTACGATATCATAAAATATTCCAGCAATTTTATATCTTATTAAAAAGGCCAATCCGGAACATAATACCTAAATTAAGAAATTATGGAAACAGACGGTAAGCCGATAAAGTTACTTCGATATTGCAAATGATTGTACACCGAAGTGCTCTTACTTGAATGATTAAGAGGTATGTCGTTAGTACGGGTTCTCTCGTCGGTCCAATATATTTTAATAAAAGATTGATAATTGTTAAATTGTTGACCTGCATATATTCTTTACCCTCTCCGTTACTCTCTTCGACATGCAAAAGGCCAAAAAGACGAAACAATCTTAGACATAGACGACCAAGAAAATTTAAATCTTTGCTTTTAAAGTGGGCAAAGCTCATGCCGAGTAATCCTGTCTTAGGATTAAACCTGTTGTAATGATAGTTTTCATTCAATGAATTTTAATTTTATCAGAATAATAGCATTTGTTTTAAGAAAAATATGAAAGATTCGTACTTTGGAAGTCGATGTCTAGGACAGTGGACAAGCCCAAAGAGTTGTGGGCACGAATACAAGAAATTAAAGATTTGTGGGATGAAAAATAGCAGCATGGTTTTGCTAAAGTGTCCTAGAATAGCGACCACTGCAAATGTCATTCCGGCAAAATAGCAAAACGTATCACCTACAAAAACTCTTGAAGGATACCTAATGCGTAATAAGAAAAAGATTAGTTTTAACTTCATTTCATGGCTATCGCCATTTCAAATTAGGTTAGTACGATCATTAATGATTACAATATATTTTAACGCTGTCTTATGATGATTTATATGATTACCAGTTATGAAAGAGAAGCGCAGCAGTGACTGCACAAAAGGGCATGATAAAATAAAGTGAGAAACGATGCGCATCAGGGGATGCTCCATTAAGTTCAATGATATTAAAAGTCATTACAGAAAGTCCAATAACTAATGATTGGCCAGCTTCAATACCATTAATTCCGGCATATATATTAATAGCATTGGTGCAAAAGACGGCCAGCATACCCATATAGACGTAGTAAAGGAAGCCTATTGATACATGTAAAAGTATGTTCAATTGATAGCTAAAAATAGGGTGTCCAATAAAAGATTTGTCTAATAAAGTATAGCCCCTAAATTGACTAAAGTGTAATCTTATTTATGCAATAGAAGAATGCAACTAGCGGCAATGTCTATTTCTTTGATTTTGTAGACAACTGAAAACGCTGTAACACTATGCAATACAGTTTGACTTTCAGAATTACCTAAATTCAAATCATTCCCAACGTAAGCGTGCAAAATCTTGGGAACAATGATAGTTGTAGATCCAAAATTGACTAAATAGACCATTAGAAGTGGTAGTGAAGCAATAGTTGGTAAAATGAGCTTATGACGCCATCTAAGATTGAGAACATCATCAGAGAAGCCAAGCAGAATCATACAACAAATAGATAGTAGAGCAGAAATATGCTCCACAAACTGAAAGAGATGAATACAAAGTGTAATGTTAGCTGCAATTTGACATCATCCATTGTTGTTTCTCGAAGAGTTTTAATTAGAAATGAATATCGTTTTATCTTTGTTTGTTATTATCCATGCAATGATGCGTATATGTCTACAGTATACGCGTATTTTGTAATTATAATGGTGCTACAGTAGATGATGTAAGGCTAAAACAGGATTAGCAAATGGTTAGCAATACTGTATATCATACCAAGAGATTAGGAATAGCAAGTTTATGTGTGTTAAACATAAATAACTTCATACAGTATACTATAAGGTTTAATGTAAGATTATTATCCTTTATTTAGTCACAGCCTCCTATTAGATGCTTCAAGATTTATTCGAGAATAGTCGATTTCTTAGTAATATGATATGATTGTAGTAGTAAGGCTTAATTGGTTGCTACTGTTACTTACACAGCCTAATGTATGTATTACAATATGAAAATTTATCGGAGAAGAGTCGATTTTGAGAAATACAATCCTAGAAGATTTAATTAATTATTATTATTGCTATTTATAGAGTATAGCCTAAGATAGGTAGTTACCGGTGAATCGATTTTAAAGTATATAATCCTAATAAGGATTCACTAGTTATTCTTCTTACTTATTGATACAGTCTAATACACTATAGTATGTTGATCGCTTGAGAATAGTTGATTTTGAAAAACTAGAATCACAACAAGATTTAATTCAGTTGTTGTTATTGACCAAAGTTTCTCCTAATATGCAACAATATTTTTATGGGAATAATGGATTTTTAAGAAAGACAATCCTACTAAGATTACATGGCCCACCTCTTGCTATTTACCGATGTACAATTGAAAATATTATAACATGGCATTGATTGAGAATAGTCGATTTTTGAGAGATATTATTCTGATTGTACTACACGTCTACCTACAGTCGACATTACCATACTAACCTCATGATGTGGAAATGTGTATTTTCCTCGCTCCAGCCATAATGCAATGTAAGGAATGGGAATAAAAATGAATACTGTAATGAGGAAAGCACAGCCACATACAACACCGAGTGATTCCGCTCTATGAAGAAATAGCATGAAATAGCAACGATTAGATAGAATTTGTATGTGTCAGTATCGCTATCATAGAGTAGAATTAGGCGTATCTTCCTGTCAATTTCTAGTCGTTGATTTGTGCTAAAGTATTGCAAGTCTGCACTCCGTACAGTAGGTTGATTCAAGCTTAGAAATAACAGGAAATGAATTTCTATCTGCAACACAGGCTATCGCATTTTAGTCTGGACAATTCAATAATGAAAATATCGAGTTATTGCTGTCCATCACTTGCAGTGATGGAAAGGATATGCCTATGGTGCGTTATTTTCCACCTGCAGCGTCGATCATGAAGGCCTGGCTACCCTACGATGGTCTCCAGTAGTGACGCGTTGTAGTACTTACACTTTCTCATCGGAAGTTTTATTCAGATCGCGTCCATGAAGGCCAGCTTGGATGAATAATCGCCTAGCACCAGGGATCGAAATGACAGTGGTTATCAAAGCAATGACTGATGCAAAAGCATTAATGATGATAGGATCCGGTACATCGATCATGTTAGATGCTAGTAGAGCCTGCAAGGGCGCATAACTTGGATTAGAGCTTTCTTGTCCAGCTTTGCCGAGGTCAATCAATCGAGTTACAGTACAATCCTTGGTGTTTTACAGTGTACAGTACGCGCCTCCACAGTCTCTGTACTGTAAGATCCAACTGCTTTAGTAAGCGCTTTTTATAGCCGATGGTTGGTTTGACTCTACTACCGTATCCTACTGTCTGAGTATGTCTACTTGTATAGGAGGTTAGGACGAACTAGCGTCCACCACCGTCGCTCTACGCTGTTGGCGAATGGCAATGATCCACGTATCAAGTCTATCTAAAATGATCATGGATTGCATCATCGATTGAGATGAATATGGTCGATATTCGAGCTGTAGTAGTCGTATCCACTTGTACGATGGATTTATAGAATGTCTTCGATTAAAATATGAGGCCTTAACTGGTCATCCATGGTCTCCAATTGCGCCAATCAGACAGTGTTAAATATTAGTTGCAGTTGAACTGACCCAGTGTAGCTCCACTGAAGGTAGCAAGTCATGGAGAGTGTGTTGAAGTATTTTTACTTGGTACTGTAGAAACTAGAAAGTATTGGTTTGGCATGGTTATAGCGCTAGAGTGGCTACTTCAATGTAAAATTGAATTACGGATATAGAATCTTAAAGTCCACAGCTCTCTGTACATATTAAAAGCATGCGTTTGCGATTTATTTTGTACAAATTGATGCAGAAATTGTAATATCGAATGTATCAAATCGCGTCGTACAGTAGTGTACAACACAGTACAGCTCGCGGGATAACATGACAGTGGTGCTGTGACATGGGAGAATTTGCGGAGCATTTTCAAATTGTATTACGTTAGATTGGAACTACTTTTTATAAATAAGAAGACGGCTTGAATTCGAAATCTCAAAGTCTACAGCTATCTGTACATATTAAAAGCATGCATTTGCGATTTATTTTGTTCAAATTGATGCCAAAATTGTAATATCGAATGTATCAAATCGCGTCGTACAGTAGTGTACACTTGCACACAGGACACTCTTGTACCTTAGATTGGAACTACTTTTTATAAATGAGAAGACAGCTTGAATTCGAAAAGAAACATGCGCCTGAGAACATCGAGAGAGCAACAGAAGAATCCATTAGCATTTCTACTAGTGTGCAGTATATTGTAGGCAAGTGAAAAGAAGATTAGGAAGGACAACTGTATGGACTACAGGTCAATAAGCTACTACAGTATTTCTTTCTTCCTTTTACTGTAGTTTTAGTACTGTACACTGTGGGTACAGACAGACAGTCAGAAACTGTCCATCTTTCTTGCCTTTGAGATGTCTTCTCTGGGAGGACCTGATACAAAATGCTCTACCTTATGACCGCAATCAGTGTGCTTATAGCAAGTGTCGTAGTTGGTATGATACCCTAGTGAAGTACTCGTGCAGTTAAGCCAGCTGATCAGACTTTTCCAGCCCAGCGAGCAAGTTCATCAGCTGCTCGAAGGTGCATGCTGCAATCCAACCTTTCTATTTTCTACTCCAACTTATTGTAGCGATATCTCCTTCTATCAACATGATCTCTGCCATTTGTAAAAGTTATAATACCTTCTTCAAGCTTGGCTGTAATTTTTGCCAACGGTCATCGGGTGTTAACGTCTCCAATGTTACGGTAAAGTAAATTATTTCACACGATGATCTTTCAAGGCATGCATACTTACTCGTACGATCGGATGCAGAAATCAATACCTTGGTCATTGACATCGATCTATCCCTATTCTAGTTCATGTCCACAGGTTATTTTGCAATGAAGAAGAAAGAACGGATGAGAAAGAATCTGTTAGGAATCGGCAAGAAAAAAAGAGATAGCGGACTCATATTTGTGGTGCTAAAGAAAGCAGTCGAAGGTAATGCTGTTGTTGTAGATAAGTAGATCAGTATAGTGCTTTACTTAAACAGTTACTCCTTGTCTTGATAAATTGATTATAATCAATTATTATTATTATTGAGATAAAACGAATTCATAAGCATAACTCCTCTGATGATAGCGTATCTTACAGTATTACACCTTATTATCAGCGAAAATAGTAGCAAAGAGGTTATACGTATTCTAAATCTTTCCCTTTGTGATGATAAAAAGATATCGTAGTTCGTTCAGAATGCCTTCTAAAATTTACTTCTAGGCCTTAACTAGCTCTACTTCAATATTCAAACCAATATTAGCTATTCTTTACACGGAAATGAATGACGTTTCTCCCTGGTAATCTAAAGGATCTTAATCGTTTTGAATTGATATCACTTTTATTAAGGTTTAGGAAAGAAACATCAAGTAGTGCAAGTTAAACGTGGCTATGCTACCAACTTCTTAATACCAACCAGATCAGCTTTATATGCTACTCGCGAAAATCTTTTCAAATGTGGAATATCAATGGTGAGCTTTACAGCTGAATACAGTACAATTTAATACAGTATGATAGCCTTTGCCATACTGGCAGTATTAACTGTTAACGATGCTGACATATTCCTTCAATGAATCATTGTTATTCGCCTCAATAGACTCCTCGCCGAGCCGCAATAGCAGCTCTGGATTTAACTAAGAACAAAAAATCTCCTACAGATAAAGTAAGCTGATATCCTTGTTCTCTAGTAGATCGTCTAGTGGTCACACAAATACATATCGCAATGACGTACAAATACACTCCTGTTGCAAACATGTTGATTGAGTCCCAATTGAACACGATCAATCTACTTTTTTAACTAGTTATTAAAGTACTTAGCCCAAAAACCATTGGAAATTGAAGTTTCTCGTGATGCAGATTGGACTATCAATAAATATGTAGTAGCTCAAGAGTACCAGCGTAAGGTAATGAAATAATCCCCTTGAACTATTTTTACTGCTATACTGCTATACTGATAGTACTTTAGTAAAATAACGGCTGCAAACACTAAATACTACTACTATGAACTCAGCTTCAGTTGCACGTACCATTGCAATCATTGGTAATGCCTCAGCCATTTCAAACGTTTGGCTTACACGAAGTTAAAATCAAGGTAGGCTTTGAATTTTTTACCTTTGTTTTGCTTTGCGCAGTTAGAAACATATTGTCATCAAATACTAAATTAATAACTTTCAATAGGTTAATGATAAAGTTGGATTAGTTCCAGTAAAGGTGAACATTGTTAAACATGTCCCCAAAACCAAGCAAACAGAAGAAACTACCGCATCTTAAAGGATCATATTTATATTAGTAATTTCGCAACGCTATTTTTGGGGGAGGACAGTATGTGCAGAACAAAATATCGTGTACATGTATAATATGATGGTTTCCAGTGATATACAGTATGGCGAATAGTGACTACTTTAGAATGTGAGGTCACTGCCGAGGTTCTTGCCGAGAAAAAATAATGAAATCAAAAGAAACTAATTCATTACAAAGTATAACGCTCGAAGAATCAATGCAAATACATCAACACTTTTTGAGTTTAAGGTTATATGGTAAAGGGAATAATTTTGCCTTTTATCAATAGTGCCTGGATGGAAATTGCTGTAGAGACACTATCAATAACGAACGAACATATAAATTGCTATGGAAAATGTGACTGACTTTTAAAATATATATTTAAAGTTCAATTTTATCATGACATCAATGTAGATATTGCTTCGCTAAATCACATAAATTTAAGCAGAGTACTCATTCAGTTGTAATTATTTCACAATTCATGCAATCGTAAGCAAGTCAGACATTCAATAAATTCTACTTTGTATTCCAAGGATCTTCTCATAAAAGTGTACTTAAAAAGTTCTTAATGTATACAATAGTGTACCAAAATTTTGAATACTTGTACACGGTTGTGTTGATACCATGGACTAGTAGGACCCTCTTCTAGTAGTCCATAATTGATACGTATGCAAGTATGCCATATTACACAGGTAAGGCAACTTGCAAGAAAATATTATTCCAACGATTACGGCAATCTGCCGGCATAAAATAAGTATTTCGGACAGTAGCAAATTACGGCATATTTATTTGACTAGATATCCGATAGATATATTAGTAGACTTGAATGCAAAACAGTACCTGATCGCTGCCTATAGTTATAGTCGTTTCATCTACAGTAACAATAGTGCAGTAACAAATCTTAACAAAACAGCAAAAATTTCATATTTTCCAATTAGCAAGCTATTTCTTTTAAATTCATCAGTAAATTTCACTGATTTAAAATAGTTTACATGAACTGATTTTCAGTTTTCGTCATCATCGTCATTGAACAACGTTCTCTTTCCTTGAAAAGCGCTAATAGCTGCTGTTTGCTGCTTTTTTAACTTACTTGCAGCCCAAGACGGATGCAAATTAGAAGATTCTGAGAAAAAGCATAAAAAATAGTATCTACCAACTTCTTGCAATGGAAAGCAACATGTTGATAAGCATGCAGTACCTTGGTTGCTAGCAGTTTCTACTTTTTTGATTCTTTTCTTATCCTCACGAGGAACGTTTTTTATTTTATTCGACTTATTTTGCTTTTTCAAACATTTCGCTTCCTTTCCATACTTTTCAATCCACAGTCTAAATAGAATGGATATTTACCATAAATTTCAGTAACAAGAGTTCACGTATAATATCACAGAAATGATATTAACACACAGAATAATCCAGTATTGCTACATTCCTTAGTATTTATGATATTCTGCTAAATAGACTTACTGTTGTCTTTGACGTTGCCCTAATCTATTCTTTTTCTTATCACCCTGTTTTAATATTTGACTTTTATTAAGTATGACGTAATTAAAGATATATTCGTATATACTACAATAATTTACTAAAATAAGGATTAAACTACTCCTTACAATTTCTGATGAATCACTATTTAGTGCGGAAGTATATACAGATTTTAAAGCCTTATTTTTATTGCCAATATCTGAGAATTTTCTTGACTCCAATTTCTGACTATTCTTAGATTGCTTGCTAGATTTTACATCGGTTTGTCGAGCAGAAATATTTCTTTTGCTGGAATCCGATAGAAAATGTGTACAGTTTTCAAATATATTCTGTGACAATCTTAATATCTTTGTTGACCTACCTGCCCATGTTGGAGTGTTTCCGTGTTTTTCTTGTAATTGCATCTATAGTGAAATAAATATCATTACTTTACAATCATTCAATACGATGCATTGAATGTAGAATTCGAATAATTGAAAATAATTCAAATATTGCATCGCGTTATGAACTATTGTACATACAAAAGTAAGATATTTTGCGGTTACTAGATGAAATTAAACAGCCCAAGATAAATTTTTGACTGCGATGAATGACGACTTTGATTATGATTGTAAATTAATTTAATTGAAAGAGTCACCAAACGAGTATAGGACATTTCATGATTGATACTACCTCAAAACTTTATCACTATATCTATGCTAGTCAGGTTGGGTGTTAAAACACGGTACGGCTAGGGATAGCATTAATCCGCGTTTATATGCAATACTAATGACGACAGACAAGGTTGCTTCCAGCTATATTTGAAATCTGACAAGATAACTATAAAATCGCTTAACTTATACCTAAAAGACGGTATGGCTAGGGATAGCATTGATCCGCGTTTATATGCAATACTAATAATATAACGACAGACAAGGTTGCTTCCACCTACAGTATGTTTAAAATCTGACAAGATAACTATAAAATCGTTTAATTTATACCTAACTCTTTGTTACTTTATTGACATGACTACTACCTCGCCGGCGACTTATCTACGCCACTGTAACCCTTCATAGCTAAATATTGTATTCCTTGCTTTGCAATCACATAGAGTACACCAAGGTGAAATAACATACCTTGGCGATAGACGTCCTGTATTGGTTTTGAATTTACTAATCGCTGCAATAGTCTACTTCTAGTCATATCGTCGTCCTAAAGAGATTGAAAACTTTTATATTCTGTATTGAATATGATTGATATAGTGTAAAATAATGTAGTTGGTGATTTGCCCATTGGCTATAATGTAAAACTTACTTGTTTGTCAACATCGTCATCTAATATTGCCGTTACAACATGGTCTGGATCAAAATCCTAAGCAATCAAAATTTCATCAAGATGGCAATAAGTCAAACATTTCATCATACAATTGATTGGCTGTATTTATTGAACGTCATCGAAGCATCTACAGTTAGAATTCACCGAGTGTCTTCCATTGCATTAACTAATCTGCTTGCAATCGATTTCTCGTCACTAATTTGAATTATCCTAATACTAACTTTTATGATGTCCATGTGATTGACTAAGTTATTGGCTTTACGTTGATTCTTCTGCAGTTGTTCCTCGGTACCTCTATGATGATAAGAAAGATTTTGTTGAAATAATATAAGCAAGCCTATTGAATACTCATAATGATGCAAGTCCATGCCAAATCATTATACTGTACAGCTGCAAAGACGATATAAACGTAAATTTATTCCAATAGAATCAATGATTTCTGCAGTATAAGTTACCCAGTGATCTGCATGTCTATCAGAAATACTCACTACACATCTTTACTTACTTTTTGGCTTTTAATTGTTTCATCTTCCGTGTCAATCGATGAATCTCGTGTACCTTGGCTAATTTAATAGCTCTAGTTAACTTCTTTCGATCAATACTGTTCGATGCTGACATTTTATGATCTCGTACTGCCAGTGGAAAAACGGTAGACAAGGCGTCGGATAAGTTGCCACCAAAGATTTTAGTAGTTGAACCTGATGAGGCTTTTAAAAGATATCAATGAGATATCAAATGCAATTTATTGTAGCAAAATAGTTGTGCAAGACGAATGGTTCAGCTCATTTTTTTTGCCTACATCGACGCGTATGTATTGCAATTAAGGAAGAAAACTTACCATAAAATGGAGATTATCGATATACAGTAATAATCCTATAGTTTGCCAACCGATATCTAACCTCTAATAAGACGATTCATAATATAAAACTGTATAATTAATCAACACTTGCAATGAATCCATGGCTTGCTCCTTGGCCAAGAGGAGGAACAAGTCTCCAGTAACTCATTGTCGAGGGATATTGGCAGAGTTTCAGTAGTCCTGTGTGCCAAACACTTAGATCGGATTACAATCACGTACTATGCATGTACTCATATAGCACTTTATTGCCTAGTGAAAAGTACTATAATACTGTATTCAGTTGTAGTCCACTATTATCATGAATATCATCGAAAATCGCGATCCTATAGCAGCCTCTACAAAATGTACCCTTGAACAGTAGAGTGAACCAAACAGGACTATAAATGCAAGTGTACTCATTGAAACTACGTCGTGAAATAAACTTCATACCAGAAAGCACCTGCTCTTTTTTTTCTTGTAATCCCCAACTCAAAATAAGAAATTCAATTTAACTTTTGCAGTTTATCCCTATGCAGCTACAAAAAGTTCACTAGTATTTTCCGGTAAACACCCTACAGTCAAATTTAGTGCTCTCCTTTTACCTGTGATAAATTTTAATTAGTAAATCAAGGACTCATATACCATATCTGACACAATTTATGCCCATAGGCAGCAATGTTGGATCGCAGTCTAAATCCAAGATGGAGCTACAAAAACTTGACAAATATTTTCCAGTTAACACCCTACAGTCAAATTTAGTGCTCTCCTTTTACCTAAGATAAATTTTAATTATTAAATCAAGTTATATTAAATCAGGGACTCATATACTATATCTGACACAATTTATGCCCATAGGTAGCAATGTTGGATCGCAGTCTAAATCCAAGATGGAGCTACAAAAACTTGACAAATATTTTCCGGTAAACACCCTACAGTCAAATTTAGTGCTCTCCTTTTACCTGTGATAAATTTTAATTAGTAAATCAAGGACTCATATACCATATCTGATACAATTTATGCCCATAGGTAGCAATGTTGGATCGTAGTCTAAATCCAAGATAGAGCTACAAAAAGTTCACTAGTACTTTCCGGTAAACACCTGCAGTCAAATTTAGTGCTCTCCTTTTACCTGTGATAAATTTCAATTATTGAATCAAGAACTTGTATAGCGGATACAATTTGTGCAGATAGGTAGCAGTGTTGGATCGTAGTCTAAATTCAAGATGGAGCTACAAAACTTGACGAATATTTTCCAGTAAACACCTTACAGTCAAATTTAGTGCTATCATTTTACCCGTGATAAATTCCAATTATTAAATCAAGAATTCGTATAGCTGATACAATTTGCGCAGCTAGGTAGCAGTGTTGAATCGTAGTCTAAATTCAAGATGGAGCTACAAAAACTTAACAAATATTTTCCAGTAAACACTCTACAGTCAATTTAGTACTCTCATTTTGTCTATTGTAAATTCCAATTATTAAATCAAGGACTCGTATGCCATGTCTGAAACGATTGACAGGTAGTAGAATGATTCATTAAAAGTATGCTGACTTAGAAGGCAGTTCTCCAGTTCTTTTATTGCAATATGTAATAGCAAAGAATAGCATTTGAATTACTTCTAAATGAAGATCAGATAGAACAGATAGGTAGCAATGTTAGATCGTAGTCTAAATCCAAGATGCATGGAGCTACAGAAAGTTAACTAGTATTTTCCGGTAAACACTCTACAGTCAAATTTAGTGCTCTCATTTTGTCCAGAGTAAATTCCAATTATTAAATCAACTATTCGTATGTCATGTCTGATACGAGTTGTAGGTAGTAGAATGATGCATTAAAAGTATGCTAACTTAGAAGGCAGTTTTCCAGTTCTTTCATTCGATTACTGTAAATGAAAATTCAGATAGAACAGATAGGTAGCAATATTAGATCGTGACCTAATTCCAATATGTTACGTTAGAATATACTGTATCTAAGATCGATCAAGGATCGATATTTATTTTTGATGCCAGTTAGAGACTTGTAGCGCTTATTTTAGCATGATGCATTGTATATTAGCATCAATCAAACAGAGACGATGCCAATCGGTGCTAGAGCATAATTCAAAGCACATTGCTTTGATAGGATATAGGAATAATCATCTTAAAGTAATTCGTTTCGAGAATAACACGCATAAATCTCCAAGTAAACGCATTGACCAATATTACCGTGGATCAGAATAGAATGTCGCCTTTCTGTTATGAAATCGGAATAATCATCTTTTTAGATGTCGAGATCCACCAAGAATGGATCGATTTTGTGCTAGCTTGCGACTTTTTATAATGCTTATTTCTATGGCAAGATAGCTAAACATGATTGATCATGTGAATTTCGGCTACAGTAGGCAGTAGACGATATCTTGAGAAATATAACTGGCGTTGCAATTTTAACTAGTCATAGGACAGCTACAACTAAGTGCAGCAGTGATCAAGAATTTTATCCTAATATTAATTATAGGACATGACTGATATTAGTTTGCGGTGCGGCCATAGGCAATGTGCACGTATGTGTATTCTATTTTAAGGAATCATCCTACTATACTGATGGATTTAGTATTAGGCAGCTAAATCACAAGTTAATATGCGGTAACATAGAAAATCTTTTGGCGAATTGATATGATACAACATATCATACAGTCTATAACTTGGCATGGAATAATCTACGACTCACTTGGACAAAGAAACGAACAGGCCAATTCTTTAACTCTCAAGTTTTCTATTTTAATTTAATTTTATTTTAGCCATTAATTAATCATTCGTGCGATACATTATCATGCTATTGTCAAATGTTACTCCATGGTAGACAAAATTTTACAGACTTATTGACTACATATGTAAACAAAAGGGAATAGGATAGCAATTCAATAATTATTATAAATGTCACGATGGCGTTGGATAGATTACTGTTGATTAGTCTGACCTAAACATGAACGAACTTAAAAATCCGAAGGTAACATGTAATCATTCATGTTTACAATCTTATAAAGGACGAGTTGAATAATACAGTGTTTAATGATTAATACCAACAGAGATCGCCCACGATACAATCCAGTCCTCTTTATATTTACAATTGATTATGAAAGGTTTAAAAGTTTTTAATCCATCCTTTCAATTGCCTTCCATGGGTAGGCTGGTCTTAATGAATTTGGTACAACATGCTATCATCGATTGATATAATTTCATGCCATAGTCGATCCTAGAATGCAATTGCTTGTCACTCCTTTTATTTCTTAATTATGCGTGCTATCCTAATTTTAAATGATTTATAGCACTCTTGCAATTATGATAATACCAACACAAATTCATCAATTACTGGCGAGGACTAGAACCTATTTTAGTCTTAAAGGCTATATTATATAGCAATCATTCCGTGACGTGTAGCAGTACTTTTAAGTAGCAAAGGTAGAAGCTTTCGTCAATTATTAAAATCCTCCATCGATGCTAATTTCATTATGAAATTACTTTATTTTAAACTAAAGTAATTTAAAACAGTTGAACATAGTTACTTTTACTCTCCCAACTAGCAGAGCCAGCATTTTACACGATTGAATAAAGTTATTTTTTCTCTCTTAAATAGTACATCTAGCTAAAGAATTGTCTTGTCTAGTCACAAGCATTTATTAACTCCACACTTCTTTATTAAAATATTATTAAATTGACGTTTAACTGTAGTAACTTTTTAAAGATTAAATGTAGTTACGGGTTCTCTCTCCCAACTAATAAAGCTAGCTAAAGAATATATTTTAGTTTTATCTAGTTACAAACCTCTTTATTAACTTTATACTTTTAGTTTTATATAGGGTGTTATAATGTATTTTATCAATCTTTAAGCTATTCACATCGGCATTCATTATAAATTACAATATCAGAGCAACAATGTCAGGAATTGAAACTAAATCTTACTGTTCATAAAAGCACCTGCTCAATTCATAAATGTATTCTGCCATAAAGAGACTGCTAAACACAGGCATAAAGTTAAAGTCTTTGTACCATTCCAGTTTCAATTACTTTTGATGAAGTGTTTACAATCCAATGATGGTATCATCAAGCTTTACTAGAGCATTCTATTGAATGATAATGGACATGTAGCCAGCAATTAATTTGAAACAATAAAGATGATGTGAACAATTACCAATTCAATCAGTAATAGATTTTGTAGCATGAAATTAGGGATCAATTTCCATACAATCCAATGATGGGATCATCAAGATTTACTAGATCATTCTATTGAATGATAATGGACATGTAGCCAGCAATTAATTTGAAACAATAAAGATGATGTGAACAATCACTAATTCAATCAGTAATAGATTTTTGTAGCATGAAATTAGAGATCAATTTCCATACAATCCAATGATGGTATCATCAAGCTTTACTAGATCATTCTATTGAATGATAATGGACATGTAGCCAGCAATTAATTTGCAACAATAAAGATGATGTGAACAATCAGTAATAGATTTTTGAGCATAAAATTAGGGATCAATTTCCATATCGTTTACAGAGTAAACGATTCTATCAATTTATACTTCCATCGAGAAAATTTTCTATTTATTTAGCCCATCAATAAAATTTTTTCCGATGTAATAAGAATTAAAGTCATACGTTTTTATATCCGAGTACCGCAAGGAAAGGGTTTAAAAACAGACGAAAAGAATAAATAGTCATTATAAAGCTTATATTATACAGTCTTACACTTAATAAATATCTAAAAAGTGTCAATAACTTTTAAGTATAATGTAGA